CAGATATGGTCGATTTGGTTTTGTATAGTGTGATCCGGTGAAGTCTATGTGCTTTTGTGAATGCGCTTATGTGGGAATATGGTGCCGCCTATGACCAGCTTATTGAAGGCACATAGGTTTGAAAATCTTTCACCATTTTCGTTCCTTTCTCCCAGTCCGTGTCGTCCCATGATGTCTTCATATCCAGTGTTATCCGTTCCAACCTTGGCGTTGAAATCTCGCATCAGAATGGTCAGGTCCTTTGTTTGGCACTTCTCGACGATTGACTGCAGCCTATTGTAGAATTGATCTGTAGCGTCTTCATTGTAATCGTTGGTAGGCGCATAGCATTGGATGATGTTCATTGAAATGCCCTCTTTCTTTGTTTTGAAGGAGGCTTTGATGATCCTTGATCCATGAGATTCCCATCCTATAAGTGCATTTTGCGCTTGTTTGGACAGCATCAATGCAACTCTTTGTGTATGTGGTGCATTTTCTTCTTCATGGCCGGAGTATAACAGAAGCTCTCCTGAAGTTAGTCGTTGTTGTCCAACTTGCATCCAATGTGTTTCACTGATCCCAAGCACCTCTAAGTTGTATCTCCTCATTACTGCAGCAATTTGGAAGGCTCTCTCGGTCTCTCACATTGTACGAGCATTCCATGTACCTAAATAAATGGTCGCTCTGGTTGTCAGAAGGGGCATCGGCCTCGTAATTTCCGAAGGAATTCGGCTTTCATCATGAGGCGTCAAAGTTCTTCTAAATGAAGACCTTCTGACTCCCAGGACAGAGTTTAGAAGGTTTGAATAATTTTTTCTGGTTAGCGTTTTTTAGCGAGTTAGTTTTCTACGGGATGGGGACGCTAACCCCATGCTTAACCCTCCTCCTTTATCCGGGCTTGGGAGCGGCAGTAGCCCCCGGAGGGACTTCAGGCGGAGTTAGATCTATAGTATGGTCTGTGTGTATTGCTTCGATTTCCGGTGGATTCAATGAAGCATTCATATTCAGTAGTTCCTCAAGTTGTCCTACCCATCTTTTCCTGTGTTCTTGAATTTCATTAATCGGCTTCCCTTCTTTGTTCTTGACCGGTCTCTCTGGTTTACTCTACCAGTTTCTTCATTATATCATATAGTTGACTGATATTTCACCATGTTGCAGCTTTTTCCGCTGTCGTTGCTAGCTCTCTCACGTATTTCTGCTTGTCAACTCTAATGCTATTTGTCACTTGAATGTTTGCTTCTATGTATTCAGCTTGTGTCTTGAGTTTCTCTGTTCTTGTTCGGCTGTTGTTAACTGCCATCTTGTTCTTTCTTTCTTGAATCTTATCCAGGGTTCCCAAAGAGATTCGTTACGCCTGTTGATGCTTTTTGAGTTCAAGAACCTCCTGACATGTTGAAGTTAATGCTTCGTCGATCCCTTTCCAGTTGTCCTTAGTAGTGGTTTCATCTTCTTCCAATAGATCCTGTAAGGCTTGGAACCTGTTGTTCAGAGCTATTTTTAATTCGTTGAGTTTGTCAATATCCCGAAGGAAGGCTTTATTGAGCCTTCGTGATGCCGTTTCCCGTTTTTTCAGTGCTTCTTTAGCTTCAACTTCATCTTGGCAACCACCAGGTGGTGATTCGAATCGATGTCAGCTCTCTCTCTCCCTCTGAATTTTTTACTGATGTAAATATGATCCTATCTGGTTCGCCATACTGTGGTTCGATGAGACCCATGTATATTTATGTATGCATTCGTGCAGAGATATTATGCGACCTATAATCATTTTGTTGAATGCATATAGATTTGCAAATCTGTCAATATTCTCGTTCCTTTCTCCCAGTCAGTCCATCTCTTCCCATGATATCTTCATACCCAGTGTTGTGAATTCCGACTTTGGCGTTTAGATCTCCCATCACGATGGTCAAGTCCTTTCCTGAACACTTCGCTCTGATCGACTGAAACCTCTCATAAAATTGATCTTTACCGTCGTCGTTGCATTCACTGGTGGGTGCATAACATTGGATAATATTCATTGTGATTCCCTCCTTCTTTTTTTAAAATGATGCTTTGATGATCATCGGTCCATGAGATTCCTATCCAATAACTGCTTTACGTGGCTCTCTGGATAGCATAAGAGCAAGTCTCTGAGTGCGCAAGGCACTTTCTTCGCAGTGACCTGTGTACAGTAGCATTTCTCTCTAATCTATCTTCTGTCCAGATTGAGTTCAATGGATTTCACTTATTCCGAGCACCACCAAGTTGTCTCTCCTCATTTCCGTTGTCAAAAGCGGCATCAGTCTCATGACTTCCGGAGAATCTCGGCTTTCAACAAGAGGCGTGATAAATTTTCCTTCTACTCTGAGGGCACGGTTTAAGTGGTTCAATTTGTTTATTCTGATTAGCGTTGTCTTTAGATTGTTTTCTATGAGATGGGTTTGCCGACACGATGACCAACCCTTCCCTTATATGTAGACTTGAGACGGGAAGTAGCCCCAGGAGAGCTATAGACGAAGTACGTGTTGAGTTGAATTAATACACATCAGTGGATAGTCTATGATAAAAAGTGTAAGATATGGGGATAATGTGTATCGTCATCAGTTATTATCAGTCTTTATCAATACAGTAAGAAAGAATCTTGACAGGGTGAAACTTGAAATAAGGTAACTAATAATGATATTAACTAAACACAGAGAGGAATGAGATTTACGAATGAAAAAGGAAGAAACCAGGAAGATAAAGAATAAGTGTAGATGCAATCAGCTTCCAGTCGTTTTTTTTAAATTTTTTCCCAACTATGTTGTCCTACAGTTCCGATCATGTACTTTGAATTTAGTTCAGCAGTTTGTGTATTTCTATGGACTATTGATTTACCTAAATTTAGAAATCAATTAGCTTCTCGTCAACCTACTACAGTATCCAGTAGTAACTAAATTCTCAGTTATTTGTATGAAATGTTTTCAACTTTTTAACACTTATTCCGTGATCGAAATAGAAATCAAAATTTTAGATCACTATCTAATCAGTGGATTAGATACTTTTCCATATTTGATTTTGATTCTTATTATTAAGTGGTCGGAAGAATCTAATTCGACAACTGATTCTGTTGTAGGACCAATCAATAAAAACTAGTCAGTCAGTAAAGTATAACGCCCTAATCGTAGCAGAGCATATATTTTGTCGATCAGTGAAAATATGTTTTGGTAATCTTATTAAAATTTACTTGGTCATATAATTCAGTTGTTTTCATTTCAATACCTGAGAATGGTGGTTAGCAGCGGAATCCAGGATGCACGTTCCGTTTCATATGGAACTCTTCAGTTGGATATACGTGCATCTCTGAGTTGATGTTCACTCCGAGACTTGAACCCAGTAATGTTCGCTTCAAACGCTATCGAGTTATCCACTTAGCTACTGACTCCACATAACCACTAGCTTGTGCAATGAGATCAAATTTAATTCATTGTGTATTGTTTGCTTGAATCTCCCTATTAGTGTTTAGGACTGCAATTGATTAGTCTCTTATTGGCATATGTGCATCCTGTGAGGATTGCCTCGATATTGCCTTGTCAGCGACGATGGATACAATGGGAATTTCTAGCTTTTTTTCAAGTTAGATGTATCGACTACAGCAAGAATTGGAACTACTAAAAGAAAAACCAGGATAATTGAATGGCATTATAATTGATGGTCACTGTGAAATTACATTAATATCTGTTGCTTATAATCCATTCTACTTTTGTAGTCGTGAACACAGAAAACTGAGTAATCAGAATATCAGTAGTACGACTGATAAAGTGGACGCTATCTCTCTACCTATGCATACCTTGAACATAGATTACCAGTGATGCAGTATTATACGTCATCAATAATATCAAGACATGAATAAAACCACGAACATGAATGAATTCGGATGGGAAAACGTCGAAATTCTAAAAATGTAAGAGAACTTCCACATGTATAGCATTCAGATCAATTGGCCATCAACAGACATCGACATCAATCCAATGTATCAATCCACGTGAAAGACGTAGACTAACTACATGGTCAGAAGTCAACCAAAAAAAAACATTCAATAGAAATGCAAGAATAAATGAGGACTAAATTACCCATAAAGATAATCAATCATAAACCAGACCATTTAAAGCTTGTGGAATAACTGAAAAATTCACAACCACATAATACAGGAGCCGATAATATTGTCCAGAAGGACAACTGATAAATCTTCACCATTAAACCAAATAGATTAACGAACATACCAATAAAAGCAACCAGCTAAATTGAAGATTTCTGATATCAGTCATGATAAATCTGTTTGTTAATTAACTTCTATATTTATTCTAAGTATATTGAATTCATATATTCATATAATTATCAACATTAGTGAATACTAAACACATAAGTAGTGGTAGTTTTAAATCAGATCCAATCACTGCAATCAGAATTATTACTGTTAATAATAATAATAACCAAAAACATAATCATCAAGATCTTTTGAGAGAAAAAAATCAATAATTATTCACTGTTACAGAGAGAGAGAGAGTGAAAAGTAGACATTGGCGTTGAAAATCGAGATACACAAAAATATACTACTGAAATGTAAATAAGTAGATAAACATAAAACTATTGTTTTTACAAAATTATATAATATAGAATGATTTCACACAAGAGATATGTATAGTATGCATGTAATCTCATGCCTGCCTTTCTCCATGTATATTCACAGGAGGATAATTAACAAGTGCAGTAACATACACATAACGATCTATTCAAAAAAGAGAGAAACTAAAACGTTGATCATCAGGCCAAGATAATAATATTTATGTACGTGAACAGTTGAGCGTTATGTAAATCAAGTGAACACAGAAAGGAAAATTGAACGACAACAACAAAATCACTAATGAAAATGAAATATTTAAGGAAAATAAGAAATGATTTTGTTTATATAATTGGAATTGTTGCGAATATTTTTTTGTGGGTTTGTATAAAAAAACAGAGACTGGGGGAAGCATAGAGATAGATATATAAATCGATTAATGTAATCATTCCAAAAAGCGTATACTCATCTTTTGTTCAATATCCACATTATCAAATGCCTATTTCAGAGCATTAATAAAATAAGAATAAAAAAGAAGTGTATAACTTTTCATAAATTAGAATTATATTACTGAAATCTTCAAGGAGAATTACCAATGATTATGGTTCAGTATGTTAAAAACTATGTCAAATAATTCATTACAAGATACTCAAACTCCTTGATTATATTCTTTTGTACAATCGTAGAAATAGTGTAATATATTTCCTTACGTTATACAGGTTTTAACTGGCTTAATATGGATGGTTAATTTCATATCTTTCGGCTTATAGTCCATGACAGTAGTAATTACTCAAGAAATTCGAATGGAACATCATTACAAAAGTTTGTATGCTATACTCCTGTTTTACGCCCTCAAATGCCCTGGTAAGGCCGACAGTGAGGATAGTCAGTTCTCTCTCTCTCGAAATGCTCTTACATGGCCACGTGCATACAACCACTGACAGGGAAGTACTAAACACTGTCCTCTTGCGGAGGGTGCGTTTTCCTACGAAATTGAGAGGACGAAAAGCGAATGTCCGGCGCTTTAACTGGGTTGGTGGACATGGAGAGTTCATCTAGGGGAGTTGAAAAACCATGCTTTCAAAACAATGATGCACATGGGCTCCAGGATCCTGAAGGAACAAATGGCGTATGAACCACTTGTTGGTGACCGTTGCCATGGGACTGAGTATCTTGACGTTACTCCACTGCCTTATGGATCAAACCTTTAGGCCGAAGGCTCCGGGTGTGCCCCCCAAAGAAAACTACCTGTTTTGGTTTGAGCAGCCAGGCAGTATCCCAGTCCTTAGGCAAATCGTATAATTTATGTGGCGCATATGTATTTGATGCCTCCTTGTACCAATGTTTATATGTTCAAGTAAATGATAAACTCCTGTTTTTTTAGTTGAAAAAACGACAGTCGATAATAATGGTATGGATGTATTAAGTACAACACATGATTTTGATCGAGTTTTGTTCTCTGAGCTGGATGGTTTGTTCATGGAGGTTGCATCGATATTCTGAACGACACCATCAGCACAAACTTAAGATAGAACTGAAGTGTTCGAATTTCTCCACATGTGGTTCTTGTTGACCTTGAAACTGTCATGACAAGTTGTGAACCATATATGGAGAAATTCGAACACTTCATTTCTACATGAAGTTTGTGCTGATGATATCGTTCAGAAGAACGATGAAAGCTCTATGACTAAACCATCCAGCTCAGAGAACAAAATTCCATCAAAATTATTCAACTGATCTACAAATCTTCTCCACCATCTCACAATATAAGATTAAAGAAGAAGCGAATGTAATCAAAAATATTCACTGATGGAAATGAATAACAGCTAATGATTGTCGAAAAACTTTTGAAGTTAAAAATACAGATCAACTTAATGGTTGAAATGTTAAACACTTAAAATGAAACCTAAAGGTCTTGGATTCAACTTCTAGTGAAGTTGTGGATAAGCACTTCTGAGGAGTTCTATACTAAGATGAAACAGTTGTAAGTGCTTCTCCAGTTTTCGATGATTGCTTAAGGGCAGTTCGTAATGTTAAACTATGAAAAACTTGTTTAAATGCTCACAGGTTCATTTTGGTGATTAAAAATCTCGTCTTTCAACTAATCGATCACATTTCCATGTATCGCATCATCTAATTCGATTTTGATAGTTAGATAATATCACTAGAACCTGGGACACACAATATGATTTAAAGCAAATACTGAATGAAAACACCACCTAGTAAAATGATATTACTTATCTCGCACATAAACGTACAAAGGTAGGTTTAAAGAACAATAATGGATAATGTAAGAATTGTTTGATATAATCAAATATTTTGGATAAAAAAACTAATAATCAGCTGATAATTAAGCTGAAATTGGTAATGAGTAGGTGGAACATAAAATCCAATGCTTGAAGAATGCCATATATTTATACCATAGAATCGATACCTTACATACTTACTATATTTATATTACACTAATTTGAGTTTGAGTCATATTTTAAGTATGAAGACAGTACCTGATTACGCAAACTGGTGCCCCCAAATACCCTGGTATGGCCGGGAGTGGGGTGGGTTCGCCCTCCCTCTCGAAATGCTCTCACACGGCCACGCGTATACAGCCACTGCTAGGGAAGTCCTAATCACTGCCTTCTCGTGACAGGGGTGTTGTTTACGAAAATGAGAGGACGAAAAGCGAATGTCTGGCGCTTTAACCGGATCACAAACCAATGGTGCACATGGGCTCCAGTATCCTGCGGGAACAAATGGCGTATGAACCGATTGTTGGTCACCGACTACCATGGGACTGCATCTCCTCACGATGCTCCACTGCCTTGTGGATCAGACCTTTAGGTCAAAGGCTCGGGGTGTGGCCCCCTAAGAAAACCACCTGCTTCGGTTTGGGCACCCGGGCAGTATCACAGCCCACACACACAAATGTGGTGTGGCGCATATATATTTGGTGCCCTCTTGTACCGATATTTATGTGTTGAAATAAATAAAATAAATACCCAAACTGTTGTCGGTGGAGTGGGGCTCGGATCTCAATCAGTCGATCACAACGGTGCACCTGGTATGTATTAAGATCAGTTTAAGTTGCCATACCCTATTAGCACAAAGAGATGGGGATTGTCAACCCAAATACTAGAACAGAAGATGTAGTAAGAACTCGAATCTGGGACTTGGAGGTTAAAAGTCGAACGTCTTAACCGCTACATCACCTCTTTACATATTCATTAGATCAGATGAAATCCTAACTACCACCAAGAAATCAGTGAGTAATATATATGTCTAGATTAATGAATATCAGAAACATTTCCTCAAATTCGAAAACCAGACACAGGCTTTATATAGTTAGGGCTTTGTGATATACTCATAATTACGTGAGTACTGGTGACGGTACTATTGACCGGTTACGCAAACCGAATTTTAAGAATAAGGATTTGGATATAAAAATAATAGGTGGGAATATAATTTATGGACAACCTTTGAGCAACGTTAAAGTGACCTCGAGAGTGTCTACCTAATTACTAAGGTTAAATGAGGGTTAGAAATCAGTGTCAGTCAGTCAGTAACAGTGAGGAATTCGAATTATGATTTACAGTTGATGGTTAAGGTTAGGGATTAGATTTAGGGCTTTTATCACAAACTGACATCAGCTATAATGCCAAGACTCTATTTAGCCAAATAGATGAATGAACTTCGCGCCAAAATCCGAGATTTGTTATCTTATACCTTATAAGTTCGTTCATAAATTATAGTCGCCAAATAATGATAAAAATTCGAATGATATATTCATTGATAAAACTACATCTACAGGAGCATATGTATAAGAAATAAAACATACTTGTACAAATTCCGCATACGATATATAGCAATCACCATCAAGATCCGCTTCAGCCATTGTTCGTTCACCGATATTATTGATCTGAAATTGATTGATTTCTCACGAAATTAACATATATGGTTATACATCTTAAATTATATAAATAACCGATACTATCTTAACTAATCATAGGAGTTAAATCGTTGTTAATTTTGTCAATAGATTTAGCATAATATTCACTTGATGATGTTTACTTGTATCTTCCCACTGTTATTTAGGACGGTGTAGTGAAGGAGAACACGGGTGAGGACAACCAAATTGTATTTAGGACAAATTACAGAATTACTTGGTAAAATAGAAAAACCATATAGTAAATCGTTAATTTACAAAATATCATTCTATCATATCAAACCGGACTATTGCTGTTGCAAACATCAATCCATTGTCTCGCATTTCATTTTTCATGCGATTTCTTACAAATTCCATTGTGTTCTCGCTCTTCTTTTCTTGATCTTCTCCATTTTCTGCTGCCAGACATTACGTTCTTTTAAGTCACGTTATATACTACTTATATCAATATAAGTAGCACGTACCACAACGGCACTTGATCAGTTTCTTGTTGGCAATGTGCGGACTGCCTCAATATTGCCTGAAGTCACAAGCTTTATAAGCAAAGATGGATAGTGGCTAGCAGTGGAATCCAGGACGCGTGTTTCGTCCTATTTGGGACTCGTCAGCTGGATATACCTACATCTGAGAGTTGATGTTCACTCTGGGACTCAAACCCAGATGGATAGTGGCTAGCACTATCAATCTTTGCTTATAGAGCTTGTGACTTCAGGCTATATCGAGGCAATCCGTACAAGATGCACATATGCCAACATGCGACTGATCAATTGCAGTCCTAAATGACAATGGGAAGATACAAGTAAAACAACACCAAATAAATTTAAAAACTTCACCCCATTGCACAGGCAGATGGTTATCAGAACTCAGTAGCTAAGTGGATAACGCGATGATATTTGAAGCAAATAGTAATGAATTCGAGTCCCAGAGTGAACATCAACTCTGAGATATAGGTACATCCAAATGACAAGTCCCAAATTGGACAAAACGTATATCCTGGATACCAATTGATAGCCACTATCGATCTTTGCTTATCAATCCAACATTATTTTACAAGTGTAAATAACAAAACTTTCTCTATATGAAGTTTTTATCTGAACAGATCACATTATCATATTGTATGATAATACAATATACCCCTTTTATTTCAAATGTGATATTTATTTTTGATAGAACATTCTTTATATGAAATTTAATATGAATTTTATGGTTAGGGTAATACACAGCATGTGTTTTATATTAGTTATAATGTAAAAATCTGGGGTTTTTTGTTTCTGTATGTGTGTATGTGTATTTTCTGTGAATACTCATGAAATACAAGTAAAATCTACACATAAATATGAGTGTGTTTTTTTTTGGGGGGGGGTCCAACTGTTTGTTATACATTTTTTTTCCTTTTGAGAAGGTGAAGTAGATTTTTATTTATCTGTCATTAGTTTTATTTATTTGAACATATAAATATTGGTTGGAGTCCGCGTAACTATCGTAACCGATGGTTGGAGACTCTTGGTGACATGGCTCAGAATCGATCACAATGGCGTAGGTGTATACACTCTTTGTCTTCCCTTAAACTAAGAGGTTAAAATCACTTCAGATGTTTCTTTCTACTAACTAATTCTTTCTTCCTGTACTGTATCCTTATATGCAATCTTTCTCCTATATATTACCAACTTTGACCTAACCACTCCTATGAATCCGGTGTTCATCTTGCTGTGCTAATGCGGTATGGCAACCTGGACCGATGCATATATGTACCTGGTCCTACGTTGTAGCTGACTGACTGGTACAAAGAGAGCAACGAATACATATGCACCATACAAGTCAATTGATTTGTGTATGGGATGTGATACTGCCCAGTTGCTTAAACCGAAAAAAGTGATTTTCTTAGGGGTCATATCCAGAGCCTTCGAACTAAAGGTCTGATCCTCAAGACATTGGAGCAATATTAGGAGATGCAGTCTCATGGTAGCCAGTACTCTAGTGTGTTTAATAACAACAAACTACTAATGTTTTTGCAGAGGTTTGTATTTTCCCATTGTTAATATTCCGAACTAATATTCGACTAGTCTCTATTGGTATATATGTACCTAAGTAGGATCTCAAGATGTTGCATGTATTTATAGGTTTTATCGCAATTTTCGTATTTCAGCTACCATAGGAATCCAGATCGTGTTTCGCTTTGTTTGAATGTTATTATATGGACGTATCTGAATTTCAGTGTTGATTTTCGCACTAATACTCACACTGTTGTGATTGCTAGATCCTCAGAAATCACTTGACAGACGTTTTATTTTTGTTATTTTATTATAGAAATGTGAATTTTTCATTTTCGCGACAAAGATCCCCATTTTTATTTTCAGTTTGTATTTCCCACGCGGGAGGGCCTTAAATGCGATAGATTTATTTTATCTTTCGGTACGCTATTTTGTGACGTTTTTCAAGGACATTACGCATGAGTTGTATGATTGTTTGTCCGCGCTTCCCGCTGCTTATAGAATATTTATTTTCCCCGACTGAATCTGGTCCTCTCCATCTAGTTAGCAGGGGTGGGGCGTAATAGAATAGCTTAGATTGTCCTGTTGTTGTGTTGCTGATTTTCGTTCCGTTCGTCAGTTCAAGGTGATATCGTAATCTATTCAAACGTAGCATGAACCAAGTACTCCTTGCTTCAAATGGCAACGTGTTGTCTACTCATTAAGCTACGAAATTCAGACAGCCATTCGTTCATTCAACAGGACCATAATATAACAAAGACTGGTAATATTCAGTCCTGAATATAAAAAACAATAAAATGTAAACCCCAACAAGTAATAATAATAGTAAGTATCACACTCTTTAACTAATTTTTAAATACAGTGACCTTGAGTGCTGTTAGAGGTATGAGGGCAGTTATCACTTCCCAGTTACTCAAACCATAGAAGGGATTTTTTGAACGTACCTAAAAAGGAAATTGGGCTAAAGGTAGCGTGACTACAGTGCCCAAAGGACAGCTGCTTGAAGTCGGTCACATACGACCTTTTTATGGGTAATTTTTGTGTTAGCTCCGTACTTGTTGAGACCTTACCACCGGAGACAGATATCCATGGGATAAGGCGAGGTGTGCATTTTTAGGGTAAACCTTTTCTAACCCCACCCCTCCTTGTGGGAAGGCACCATCACTGTCATGCTGGTTATCTGAAGGAAACACCTTACTGCTGTCACACCTCTGTACAGTCAGCTGTACGACTTCGCCTTCGGACCCTGGGTTTGTTGCTTTTAGTCTTACCGCTCTTCAACCGACCTGTCTGACATGGTAGGACCTTGAGGAACGGTTGTTCCAGCCAGTATAGCTCGGTTGCTTCATCACCATAGGCAAGCCCGACCAGCACCACATCAAGGTAGCAACAACGGTAGCAACAACAAAAATAAACTTAACATAAAATTACACAAACCTGTTCAACAGTAATATTAGCACCGACCATCATTTGTAACATTCCCAATAATTCATTTCTTGATATTTTACCATCCATATCTAAATCATACATACCGAATAGAAAGCGTAATTTTGCATCACGATTATTAAATTGAGTAGATTGTTGTGGTCGAACTTTACGAAATCTTGCTAGTTTACGTACAAATTGACGAAAATTTAATTCACCTTGACTGTACATGTATAGATTTTTTATTTTAACAAAGTAAACAAACAAACAAACAAAAAAAAGTTTAATTTTTTACAACAACAACAACAAAAAACAAAAACAAGCACAAAATAGAGAAAACTTTATAACAAAAACATAAATATGTTCAATATTCAATTTGTCATTATACAAGTTCATTATTGTTCATTGGTCATACTGTACATATTTAATCATGAATGATAATGGTATTTAAAAATTTAAATCAGATATCCATGTATATGAATATACGGTATGGTTTTACCGGAATGAAACACATATACAATTGCTCAATGTATCAATCGTGTATAGAAGCCTCATTTGCATAGAAACTTTAATTATTCAAGTTGAAAAAAAAATCAGAACTACTGATCGAAAAATAAACCCCTGTAAAATAATATCGAGAAATGAAATAATCAAGTTTTTTTAAAATTTATTTAAATAGTTATAACTTTGATTATGTGTCATGGTACGGTCAAGGGCGGAGAGAGACAGTTCTCTCTCTTTCTCTCTCTCGAAATGCTCTAATATGGCCACATGTATACAATCACTAACAGGGAAGTCCTACTCAATGCCTTTTCACGGCATTACTGTTCTTTAGGAAATTGAGAGGAAGAAAAGCGAATGTTTGGTGTTTTAACCGGGTTGGTGGACACTGAGAGTCGATGTAGGGGAGTTGGAAAACTCTGATTCCAAACCAATGGTAAACATGGTCGGTCACTGGCTATCATAGGACTGCATCTCCTTATGTTGCTCCTCTGCCTTACGGATCAAAACTTTAGGTCGAAGGCTTGGATTGTGGCCTCCTAAGAAAACTACCTGCTTCGGTTTGGGCACCAGAGCAGTATTATAGCCCACATACAAATCAATTGACTTGTGTGGTGCATATGTATTCGGTGCTCCCTTTGCACCAATATTTTTGTTCATATAAATAAATAAATAAATAGTGATTCTAATCATGTCAATTTATTGTGGGAAGTGAAATCAAGTTGATCAGTTATATCATTAGGACCATAAATCGACTTTGATAACGATAATCATGTTGACAGTCGTAGGAACTAACCCAGACCATTCATTAAAGTAGTTGATACAAATCATCGAAAGAACCAAATTCACTTAACTACAGTATAAACACCGAGTTATTTTAGGTACTTAGATATGAACCATACTCTAGGTAAGGAGGTCAATGATACTACTACATTGCCAAAACCGAAGTGAGTGGACAGGAGTTCGAATCTGGGGACTGAGTGACTGAAAGTCGAACGCCTCATTTATTAAGCCACCGCTTCTCAATGAGAGAATACGATGAACCAGAAAACTACTATACACAAGGAGGAACTGAGAATCCGATTAGACTTAACAAAGAACTCTTCAACAGGATGCATAAATGATCTCCCTAAGAAACTCTATATATCATGGTGTGAGGATGAAGCAAAACACGAGATCATGCTTTCATTCATCATAATATTTATTCAGCACAACATGGGTCAGTCAATCAGTCAGTAACAACGTGGAACTTCGTACGTACGTACATCAGTTCGAGTTGCCACACCACATTTGCACAGAGATGCAGTTGTCGACTCAAATCCCGTAGTGGTAGAGATAGTAAGAGTATAGTTAGTAATCGGAAACATTAGGGTTTGAAGATGTTATTTAAAGAGTATAATCCAGTGAAAGAAATTTGGAAAGAGGAAAAAAAGGGACATGAAGAATTTAGAAGATTAGAATCTGGGAGAACACAGAGAGTGGATGCACCTGCGCCATTGCAAACGATTTTGAGCCTTGTCATCCAGGGTCTCTAACCATCGGTTGCTATCATCTCGCGGTCACCAACCAGGTAGTCTACACCTACCAACATGACTCAGTCCACTTGTCAGTGACTTCATGGACTTGTGCCATGCTTTGGTCTGACCGCCCCGAGCTTTCTTCCAACCTACTCCTACACCATAAAACATCGCATGTCGGGGCAATCGGTGGTCGGGCATACGTAACACATGTCCCAGCCATCTCAACTGATGAAGTTTCACTACTTCATCAATCGATTTGCCATCCTTACCTAGTACCCGTTTCCTAACAAATGCGTTACTTACTCGATGGTCCCATGATATACGAGCAATGTTTCGAAGACACCTATGATCAAATACTAGTAACCTACGAATATCCTCTACTCTTACCGACCATGTTTCACTGCCGTAAAGTAGGACGGGACGAACTGCTGCGCAGTAAACCCGTCCTTTGGTTGATAGACGGATATCTCGCCTACGCCATAAATGACGCAAGTTGGTAAAAGCTAGTCGAGCCTTCTGTATCCGTGCTGAGATTTCGTCACACATCAGACCACAAGGGCTGATGAGACTTTCAAGATAAGTGAAGCGGTCGACACACTCAACTACTTCACTCCCTATCACTAGTTCGGGTGTGGATGTAACCCAATCCTGAAGCAACATTTTGCATTTCGAGGGAGAGAATCGCATCCCGAACATGCTTGCATTGTTGCTTAGAGTGGTCAGAAGACTTTGCATTTTGTCAGCGTTTTCACCAAATAAAACTATGTCATCTGCATATTCTAAGTCAACAAGTGAACCTCCCGGTAGAAGTTCAACCCCTGGAAATTTAGATGAGGAGAGTGTTATCTCTAAAAGTACGTCAATGACAAAGTTGAACAAGAATGGAGAGAGTGGACAGCCCTGACGAACACCACTTGAGGTAATCAATTCTGATGACAGTTCGCCATAAGCTCTCACTCTACCAGCTGTGTTCGAGTAAAGAGCCTGTATAAAGTTGGTGTACTTCTTTGGTACTCCTCTCAGTGACAAACACTGCTATAGAACCTTACGATCAACAGAGTCGAGTGCCGCCTTAAGGTCGAGAAATACTAGGATTATGGAGCGTCTGAATGTGTCTGTGTTCTAGGACCTGACGTAGTATGAATTTCGGGTCTATACAACCACATCCAGGTCGAAAACCAGCCTGATTTTCTCTAGTCTGTTCTTCACGAGCTTTGATTAGGCGTCGAAGTATTATTGAAGCTAATATTTTAGACTATGTTAGTTAAACTGATTTCTCTGACTGTCACAAGAGGACTTTCGTCCTTTCTTATAGACTGGCACAATCAGTGATTGAGACTAGTCAGATGAGAGTACGTCCAGTTCCCAAATTCTACTTAAGACCTCAGTTAATCTCACTGCTAACACTGGGCCGCCATTCTTAAAAATCTCAGGAGTAAACCTGTCGAGGCCTGCTGCTCTCCCTCGCTTCAGATTTCCTATAACATTTTCAACTTCGTAAAGGGACGGAGGACCTACATTAACTTGCCATTCAGGTTGACTGGAGATCATGGGAAAACTAAGTGTGGCTGAAGGCCAGTTGAACTGATTCCTGAAGTGTTCTGCCCATCGATCCAATCTCCTGGATTGAGAATGTATAATATGTCCATCTTTCTCTGAGAGTGTTTCGCTAACAGTCAGTTTCCTAATACCGGTTTCCTTAACATGTCTGACCAATTGTCTGCTATTACCTGTTGTCGCTGCCTTTTCCATCTCTCTTGCTTTCGCTACCCACCACTGTTCACGATCATTGCGTAAACTTCTTTTCAGCTTGCGCTTAAGCTGACTCCGCTCTTCATTATGTTCAGAGTCAGGTGGAATGAGTTTCCGAGCATCTATCAGTGCGATAGATGCTGCTGAGATCCAGTGTTGCTCCCTAACCTTCTGGTTTACTGTACTAGCAGATATCACTGCTGTTCCCACAGCTTTTCGGGTATGATCCCATGCTGCCTCGGGGTGGGCATCACATACATGGCTGCCTAACTGTTCCTCTAGTTGTTCCCCAAATATACTCTTAGCTTGACTATCATTAAGTAGGGCCCTAATTGGTTTCCTTGCAGCGTCTTTCCTATGTTCAGTAAGACGCAGACAAATACGCGCTCGCACTAGAGCATGATCTGAATCTAAGCATATGCTCCAGAATGAGCGACAGTTTTCTATCCAACGCCTCCATCGGTGGCTGATAGCGATGTGATCTATTTGGGTCCAACGTTGGGACGAATTACGGGGTCGCCATGTCAAAAGATGTTTTTCCTTATGCTTAAAGTTAGTGTTTGCAAGGAACAGGCGGTTATCTGAGCATAGCTGCAATAGACGGTCGCCATTATCTGTTCTTTGAGCCGCGACACCATAAGATCCACCTAGGTGTCTTTCCCTATCGCTTAGTTTACCTACTTGAGCATTAAAGTCACCGGCCACTTTTTCTACATCAGAGCGCCTAGCTTTTCGGAGAAGGTCGGAAAACTTTCTGTAAAATCTGTCTTTTACATCATCTGAGCTTCAGTCAGTGGGAGAGTAAGCAGAGACAACGAAGAGGCATGGGAGGTTCACTTTTTATTAATTCAGTGAAAAATCCATTCTGTATCCCGACTATATAGGTTACGTATGGTATTTCTTGACGATTGTTCATATGCCAGTGAAGTATGTACATAAAAAAATGTATTTAGTTAATAAATCGTAGTCATGTATTGAGAGAGTGAATAAAATATCTATCTGCCAGTAATTCTGCCTTCTTTTAAAGTTTTGCAAGTCTCAGCTTACTCACTTGTTTCATTTTCTCATTTGCACTTAAACCACTGAGTTGAAGAAACATAATGGTCTCCAACTTCCTCCAATCAGCTCATGATATAAAGGTTTTACTCTCCGTATGATTGAACTTAACTGTACAAGGCTGACCATTATAATTTCGAGTAAGATTTCCCCCATTAGTATTCAACATCATACCCGAGGAGTTAACTCTTATGGTCGTACTATTCCACTCAGTATTTACGTTTCATCAGCTGGATACATCCACTTATCTCGACGTTGTGGTTTAAACTGAGAATAAAACTCAGTAGTTATTTGTTAAAACACATGCTAACTTAGTGGTCTAAGAAATCCATAAGTTAATATAAATTAATCAAATCCACTTCTGGTTTATCAGCAATAGGGAAACTAAAACCTTAACACATAATGACTTATCGTTTCACACTTATTTTCAAAAATATTTATTTATTATTTATTTATTTGGACACATGAATATTGGTACAAGAGAGCGCCAATATATATGCGCCACACAAAACAATGAAAATTCGAGAGGAATACAAAGAATGAAGAAAAAGCTAAGGAGCGCAACAAAACAAGAGAGAACAATAACGAAGAGATTGGTGTAAGGTAATGTGCTAGTAATCAGGGAACGCAAAGGTACAATCAGAAGAAATCTTTCAGGTAAGGGAGACACTATCACTTTTTATGAAGAAAGTAAAAGAAGGTTACAGCAGGATCGCCACTGGCTTCTATTCTCAGCCATATCTGATAACGTCTCTAGCCACTGTGTTGCACCATCTCTCAGACCCCAACCAGGGAGTTGTGAAGGACCAACACAAGCCAGTCCTTTGCAGCTTTCTTTCATGCCACGACACCATGTCATGCACTGACCACCTCTCCGCTTCTTCCAACCAGTCCCAGAGTCGGCAAATAATGCACGACGTGGAATTCTCTGGGACGACATTCGGAGAACATGTCCAAGCCACCGAAGTCGGTGTTTCAAGATGGTGACACCAATTGAATTATCATCTCTGTGCCCGAACACACGATGCCGAACCTCTGCATTACTGACATGATGTTGCCACTGAATGTCAGCAATCCTTCGGAGACAGCGATGATCGAACACAGAGAGTCGTCTAACGTCCTCAACTCGGAGAGGCCAGGTTTCACAAGCATAGAGCAAAACTGCTCTCACCGACGCGTTGTAGATCCGACCTTTTACGGCCAGACTAACATTACGAAGGCGCCAAAGATGACACAGATTGGCATAAGCCGCTCTGGCTTTCACTATACGTGCATTGATCTCATCACTCACACCCCCACCAGCACTCATGCAGATACCCAGATACACGAACCTCTCGACTACGTTTATCTGCTCACCATCCAGGGTGAGTACAGGATTGGAATCCTGCCAGTCTTATAGAAGTACTTTGCACTTCGAAGGTGCAAAGCATATACCATACCTACGGACACTGATTGCCAACTGATTAAGTGCGGATTGCATGCCTTGGGCATTATCGCACAGTAAGACAATATCGTCCGCATACTCAAGGTCGAGAATTCTTTCTCCAGGCAACAGATCCACACTACCATTACTTAAATTCATCAGAGCTGTTTCCAGAATGTCATCGATGGCAAAGTTGAAGAGGAATGGTGAGATTGGGCAACCCTGCCTAACCCCACTACTCGAATGGAACAATGGAGAGAGGTGGTTGTATGCTCTCACTCTGCCTGAGGTGTTTGTATATAGGGCTTTTAGGATGTTAATAAACTTTTCAGGCACACCCTTCTTCAATAGACAATCCCAGAGAACAGTCCTGTCCAACGAATCGAAGGCAGCCCTGATGTCAAGAAACACTACGACTGTTGGCCTTTGATAAGTATGGCGATGTTCTAACATTTGGCGGAGGGTGAAGATATGATCAATACATCCTCGACCAGAACGAAACCCAGCCTGCTCCTCGCGAGTCAATCTTTCTCGGGTTTTGAACAACCTACGAAGTATGATGGAAGCCAATAGCTTGAACGCAATCGGAAGTAGACTTATCCCCCGATAGTTGTTACAGGAACGACGTGAACCCTTTTTAAAGATACGAACAACTATCGACTCATTCCATGACGTTGGTACACTCTCTAGTTCCCAAACCTTTGTAAACAACGTCGTCAATTCCTTAGTCAAAAAGTCACCACCATCTTTAAAAAGAGCCGGAGGTAAGTCATCTGGGCCAGGTGATTTGTAACGCTTCAAGAGTTGGGGTTCCTTGCGGACTTCCTCCTCGTTTGGTGAATCAGTCGTCACCGGCCATGGAGGGCAGGACAGTCTGACCGATGTTGCCGGAGCAGCAACTTATGTTCTACTAAGTTTATTTGCTACTGTTATCAATTTCATTCTTTTGGTTACTTTATGTTGACAAACAGTGCAAGTATAAATTCGAAGACTTGAGTAACACATATTTAAACCACGTTAAAGTCAATCAATATGTTCAGGCCTCTTGATTGACTAACCATTCTTACTATCTTATGAATAACCTCATCATTAGTCACAATGTCATTACATCAACATGTGCGGATGATGTATTGAGAAAAATCCTACGGATTAAGTGTGGGTATATTAAATACACCATAGTTGGTACAAACATGTCAAAAATTGAAAATTACCAACCCATCAAAAATTCAAGTGGTTAGTTGATGCATTCGACAAATTCACCCCATACACAATGAGAGACCTGGAAATGACACAGATTCATAGTGATAGAAATACAACTATTAATTCTTACAAATATGCTTATAGATAATAAGCATTAAAAGATGTGTTAGTTTACCTATCTTTAAAAAATTCATTCACGATTCGATCGCCAAGTGGATTAATGGCTAATTCTGGAATTAATAGAAAATCATGACGCCTGAAATATCATAAAAAACAGGGTAAGTGAATGAAATAAATACAGAGAAGTGCGTTCAGAGCAATTTTTTTCATGTACATTAAAATATTTAATGCCCAACTTAAATGTAAGTAACTAACCAACCAACCAACCGTAGCCGTAACCATTACGTGGTACTCACAACTGCATAACATGATAGCCTAATCGAGGCACGTTGGCTGAGACTTGTAAGATCCTACCAAGTCAGGTATGTCGACTGTAGAGAAGCAAAATCAATGTCCAAAAACTAAGTTGCACAGCCAACTGTACTAGACTGTGACGGCAGTACGGGATTTCCAGCAAACAAACAGACTTTCAAGCGGCGCTTTTTTACCACAACAGACAAAAGGTCACTAACTTATAGTCTGAACCATGTTGGTAGATGCAGACTACTTGGTTGAGGTCCGTGTGACTATCGTAACCAATGGTTGGAGACTCCGAGTGACATCATGGGACTAACATAAATAATACTCGAAAAAAGGTCATATATAACAGGACTTAGGCAGTTATCTGTCGAAATTTGCGACTGCGCTCCCAGGCGGCCAAAAACATGACTACCCCAGTATCCTTTTCAGATCCATCAAGAAGTATCCTTTTACGTTGTAGGAACCATAAGCTGAGAGCTCCCTTTATACCTTTAACAGCACTTAAGATCACCTCTTCATCACATGTTAACTTAAAAACCAATAAACATGTATTCATATCAACCGGGGTTGCTTTGAGTTAAGAAGAATGGCAATAAGGTCAATGGATGGGAACTTATAAGGTTGCTTTTTGGTCCCTAAAGCCAAGCATTTTTTAAACCTTGAACAATCTGTTAGTCGTCTATAGATTTTACATACATTTTGTCTTATTTGTTCACGATTAAATGTTCTATTAAAAACCAACAATTTTCACAACCCGCTTTTTCAGTGGCTAAAAACTAGCTTTACATTCCATCATTTTACGAGTCATTTGAAGCTGTCTATGGGCTTAAGTTTCACCCATTTGCCATTAAGCAACCGCCTAGAAGCCGTATGTTTTTACCTGAGTTGTTGCAACATCAATGTGACAAATTCTCGGTAGTCGCCATACACTTCCTAATAATACACTGTTAACCTCAAACGACAAGTATTAATAGTATAGCATGGGCTTCTGAATTAACCAAACACACTTATTTCAAACAAACAACTCTGTGTAACTAACGGCAAGCCTTCATAACAGTTGAGTGCCAATTTAGATGAAATGTAAACGCATAGCTTCTCCTCAGGTCTAATAAAATGGTTTACTTTCCCCGAAACTGTTCCTTTCGCGAAGAAATCCAAACTGAATTTTTTTGAGACTCTATCTTACGTCTGCACTTTCATGAAAGCGCTTACCTTTTGACTAAACAATTATATACTAGCAAACTCACTTATATTCGCCTAAATATTTAGGTGTAAAGTTGGTTATTATGTTGAAATCTGAACTAAATCCTCGTTAAGCAGGGACATTATCTTAAGAAACAGAGACTTTCTCCAAGCTAAGTGAAATATAAGTTAACTGGGAGCATTTTAGTCACATTTTATTACTAAAAACAACTTCAAACTAATGGTAAGTCAAACTAACCTCAAGTACCCGGCGTTCGTTTTGTCCAAAGCCAAATATCTATTGTACAATCGATAAATTTGTTTTGGAGAAACTTATGAAAAGGGTTGAGAGATGTATATCAAACCTACATCCAGTTTCTTGTGCAATTTCCTCAACCTCGGACTGATCAAGTGTATTCGAAGTATTCGCCCCCATTGACCTTCCGCCAAGGTCGCTCAAAGGACTTCATTCAAAAGAACCAGTCTTCTGTGATGAGGATAGTAAGTCGCTAGACCTGTGTTAATCTTTGCAGCTTGTTTTCCGGAGAATTCCCATTTTCTTCTGAAAAGTATCCACTGACGGGACCAATAATAGTTATTCACGTACGATGTTCCAGTCGTTAAATTATATTACTGGGCCCTATCCAAGTCATCCGGCAGTTGGGTCACTGAATATCAAACAGTTCACAGATTCTCATCAAGATTTAGGAAAACCAGCGCGCATCAGTTAATTGCACTCAGTGGACTAGCCCATGCCATGGTGGTCGTACTCTGTTCCTCGTACCTAATCTTACTAGCATATTTTCGTGATAAAGTTGTTTCTGTTGTGCAGTCACCAAGGTTACCATGGCACCCACGTGTAACGAAACGCCAACCCCCGTTAGGTGACGACCGTGAGGTATAACTTCGATGTTAGCTGGTTGATCGCGCCATTATTGTTTAGCTCGTGTTGTGACTTTGATTACGAGAACACGATTGATTTAATGAAAACAACTATTGCTATTATGATCAATTGTACCTGTGCTTGTTTTAATGTACTTTTGTTTAACTGTGCTAATGACAGCCATATTACTACTCCATTACTCTCCATTACTTTTTCCGCGGAATGTAACCTCGTACGTTCGTACTCTTGCCCGCTCATTCCACTTGTACTTCTTTTGACACGATTTCGGTATTCGTTCGATACCACGAGATCGCCAACGAAATAAATCTGGTTACGTTCAATCTTTGCCTTCTGATTTGTTTGGTGCGCGTCTCCTTGTAGTGGTGTTCATAGCCAATCTCGACTCCACGCTACACTCGATTACAAACCCAACCTTTCGACACAGATCATTTACGAAAGATGGGTGTAAGACTTCGTGGAACTCTTGAGTAGACCAGCACCATTGCATCCATCAAACATCGATCAGAACACATACAATCTCTTATAGATGTCACTTTTGTTGTGTGTGCTACTGAGGTCGATAGACGTTAGTAGTATGTATCATCAATAGAGTGTGAAATACCTTGCTGCAGAAGGTTAAGAATATCGAAGAAAAGAGAATGAGAACAGAAAATGATTTTTGTCAAAGTAAAGGAACAGTCCAGCTTGAGACAATCGATTGGCATTTTGCAAAGGATGTATTTATTGTATGATTCTCTGAATTTACTAAGACGTTCTATAATTTTATGTTCAAATATATTCGGTTATCCTCTCATATGTTCTCTTTCACTACAACTCCACAAACGATTTAATAGATCAGAATGGTCATCATACAAATCAGCAGTGGGGAGGCAGTAGGACATGGTGCAAAACCAACTGGAGCAACGAAGTCAGACATGGAAGTATCTGCAAACATACATCACATTCTATTCAGGAAGATTTTTTCACTGATGAAAAGTCAATTGAATGGAACTCATCACTATACATCAACTTCCTTGATTATAAGAAAGCATTTAAATGTATGTATAATAAGACATTATGTAAACTTTTTCGACACTGTGGAGTACCTGAGAAGATCAACATTATCCGGAAGCCATATATAGAAGACAGCTGACAGGTGTATTCAGATTGAGGACAGAAGTCAAGGAAAGCTGCCTACTCTACTCCTGTCTTTTTATTCTGGTGGACGACTGGACAATGAAGACCTCCACGCCTGAGAAGTACGGAATACAATGGACAGCTTTCATGCAACTAGACGATTTGGGCTTCACAACTGACCTGGCTATTCTATCCCATACACACGAACAAAGGCAGATGTAAACAAAAAATTTAGTAGAAGCCTCTGTATCATTAACACTCAACATATACAAGGGAAAAAGCAACATCATTAAATAAAGCACAAAATACTAATTTAATCACACTTAATGGAGAAACTCTGGAAGGAGTGGAATCTCTCATGTACCTGTCTTGGCAGCATCATTGATGAACAAGGAGAATCAGATGCAGACGTAAATATGAGGGTCGGTAAAACAAGTAAAGCATTTTACAGTCGAACAACATATGGAACTAAAAACAACTGTCAGTTAATCAATATCAAAGCCATAATCATCAATAAGAACGTCGAAGCAGTTCTACTGTACGGAGCTGAAACTTCATGAACTACCACAATCATCATCAAAATGGTACAAGTTTTTTTAAACAATTGTCTACTCAGGAAATCCAATTTCCGTTGGTCGGATACCATCAGCATCAGTATACCTTGGGGGAGAACGGACCAGCCTTCAGTAGAAAAAGAAATTAGAATAAGGCGTTGGAAGTGGATGGGACATACATTGCGGAAATACTCAAACTGCATCACTAGGCAAGCGCTAACTTGGAATCCCGTAGGAAAACGTAAAAACAGAATACCAAAGTGTGCACTATGTCGAGAATCGGAAGCAGATATGAAAAGGTTGAACAGCAACTTGAAACAACTGGAAGGGATTTTCTAAGACAGGGTTGGATGAAGAATAGTGGTGGACGGCATATGCTCCTCCACGAGGGGTAACACGCGTAAGTAATAAAATGTAAGTAAGTGTGACCAGACATTGTGACCTGTCGTTAAGGGTTTGATATTTATTGCTAATATTCATCAACAACGAACACTAGACCAATTTAAAAATTGAGTTTACCAATCCAATTTACATAAAACTTTAAAATACTATTAACAATAACGAAAAGCGATGACACTGTCCTCACTGTCTTTCTTTCTAAGCACTAAGAATATATATGGATTACATTCATTTAAATCTTAGCATCGAGAAATTAATATGAGTAGTTGCGATTCATCAGTTTCGTCGACAGATGAACGTTTTTATTTATAGAGCTATTTGAGAGCTTATTATTCTCAACCATCGACATCATTAAACGAGTTTGATGAGTTATTGATATCTTCAGTCAGTTAGTAAAGGCTGTCTTGGGAAATAAATTAGGGACGTCTGTAAATAATTCATTTCGAGAGACCCTCGAATAGCCAGAAAAAATGAACAATTCCGAGCAACGGGGTCTCCAAAATCCTACAAAGTTATCAAGCCAGGCATTTCACAATACTGGGTTCTGGTATCATGTTCTTATGTACAAGTTTTAGTAAGTTCTAAGGGTTGAAGACACATAAAGCTCAACTCTATTACCTGCAGTGTCAAGGCAGCCATTAAAGACATTTTGTTAGTCAAGGTTTACGAAAATCTATTATACTTGATGGATTATCATATATTAGCACTCTGATTTTAGGGATTTTCGACTGTAAGGCTCTTTTACTACTATGTATACAGTGAATAAGAGACGGAAAAATTTCAATTACTGTATGATTAGTGTGGCTTTTATTGATAAAGGTGTCACTTAAAAGTGAACCAGTTGTTGTATCCGAAGATTATGTTATGACTAACTTTCGGGAACTATTTGTAGACTGTTATTATATATGTATTCTTATTGCATAACTGGTAAGTAACTGGATCATACACATTTATAAGCTTTCAATTGACTATTGGCTATTATTATACGATTTACTACCTTTAATTTATTCCCAAGCTGTCAGTTACAATCTCTTACACTCATAGTCACTTTTTATGGTATGATTCGGCCTGATTTGCTTGTCTATAAACTACGTATGTCTGAAATATATTATTCGTGCAGTAGAGAGTGTTCGTATTACAGACTCAACTGACAGAGCTAGGCGAGAAGGACCAATAAGGATTCAGAATTGACGCAACACTGTTAGTACTGGTTGAAGTGTCATTGTCTTAGCACAAAAACATGGTCATATAAGTCGGTATTATGATTCGCGGTTTTATCACATGATAACTGACAGGGGCAAAATACATAACACCAGTTTTTATTAAATTGGCTTCCCTTAGTTTTCGAATTGATTAATTTTGGTTGCTATGTTTACGTTGCCTCACTATTCCTTTGTTATGGAATTTTATAGCCGGATACGTTATCAGACACGGTAGAGTAGAAATTAAAGTCGTTTAGACCACATCCATTCCATACATTCACGGCGATTACAGTGCCATACTGTACATATTATTCTGTGCTATATGCTATGTTTCTTATCATTGTGATTCTGAAGAAACGAAACATGTCTTGTCATTTAGTGTTTCACAAGTATTTCAGGTGATTTTTCATATACTATCCAAAAACCTTTTCAGAACTAAATTACAACAATATTTATTGAAAGCAAATCTTACCCTAACTGGTCTGTTCTCTAAAAATTATGCTAAAGGGACATATCAATTTATAGATCGCCAGCGTAGATGGTCTATGTCGAATGATTGGGGGCCTATTAGAGTTAGACGGAAATGGTGTGACGATCTAGCTAACGTCGAAGTTACACCTCGCTGTCAGCACCTTATGTGGATTGCCCCATCCACGTATCAAGGTATTGTAGATGCTTTGAAGACTGTACAGCACGAAGGACGTTATTACAGAAATATATAGTTAAAGTAGATACAAGTGAAGGTAAGACCACCGCCAGATGGGCCAGTTGATTGCGAACGATTAACTAATGCGCGTTGGTGGCCTTTAAGCTTGACAGAGATCAATGATCGGTTTAATATTCGGCGACCCAGCTACCGGATGATTCGACTAAGGCTTGGTGACATTTCACTGACCTTACAAGTTTTTGAACATTCAGCTATAGACGGAGTTTGAATTAGGTGTAAACTTCATCACTGTAGCATTGAGAAAACCTTTTTGGATTTCTGCCTAAATGTAAATCTAAAATTTCCATATTCACTAATTGATAAAGTAAAATTACCTAGATCAGCTGAAGACATACTCTATTAGTCGATGATGGCCTAAGAAAAAAGGTACCAAAATCTCCCTAAACTTTGGAGGTGATTTGGTTTCCGAATTACGGTCATCTAAATTGTTGACTGAATAATAAGATTTTTCTGAAAATTATCCATTCAATCTAAATATTGAGGCTATGGGTTTAACGTGTGAGAACAATGTTATAACTTATTAAAATACTACTCATAATGTATAGATAGCTAATAAAAGTTTACTAAAATCATTGATAACTCTTACTTCATTTTCAATAGTCAACTGAACATAGGACCTTCGGTCTCATGTGCGAACGCCCAAACTTAATGGTGATCTAACATTAATCAATTCATGATCTCAATTAAAAACTCAACAATCTCTACAATCCTACATTGATCATTCAGAAAAGTTAAGGTAGAATCAGTAAGAAAGGTTTCTACAAATGATTAATGACTGACTGTTGAGCTGTGTTATACTTTTCTGGTCCTATAATACTGAAGAGTTGACGTTGACCAAGTTAACTGAAGAGTGACGATTGATACGGAAATTGAGTCCAGAGTCTCTGATCTGCTAATTTCGTTTATCCGTCATTAAAACATCATGGATAACATATAGAGTTGTGGTGTGCGCTACTGATGTTAACAGATATAAGAAGTATGTGTCATCAACCGAAAGTGAAATGCCTGGCAACAGAAGGTTAAGAAGATTGAAGAAAAAAGAAAGAGAACAGAGAGTGATTGCGGAGAAAATGAAAGAATAGTCAAGTTTGAGACAATTAATTGATATTTTACAAATTAATTATTTACTGTACGGTTGACAAATGTTACTAATATGTTCTGTAACTGTGCATGCAAATACATTCGATTGTCCCCACTTATGTCATCATTCAATATTTTATCCCTTTTTCTTTTTTTATATAAACCCAAACAAAATAATGATGATAGAAAAATAAATCTCCAAGAATTACTATGCACACATTTATTAAAGTATAACAACAGAGAACAGGACAAGAAAGAAAACAAGAACATGAACGAATGCGAAAACAATTTGTTCTGATAAGGATACCAAAAAAAAATTAATATCAAATAAACACAACAAAAACTGTAGTCCAAATGCCTATACACATAAGTGTTTACCAGAGCTAAACAGAAGAATATAGAGACTTGAATACAAATATACAAATGATGTAAGAAATATGAGTGAAATGCATTTAAAATGCTTCTAATGAATAAAACAATATTGTTTTTATTTTATAAAAAAAAGAAGATAAAGGGTATTTAAAAAAAAGGGATTCATGATCATTTTGGGCTTAGTTACTAACGTTTTTTGATATAAAAAATCCATACAAATACACGCACACACACACGCACACAAACACGCACACAAACAAACACATTTAAGTAAATGATTCTCATTTACTGTTAGTTAGTAACATGTATAAACAGAGGGGTTCTACACTTTCTTATTTCCTATGATCTTGATCATCTTTAATTCGTTTCTTTTTTTTTTGTTTTTTTTCTTCATTCATTATGTAAGAAATGCGATAATGTTACAAAACAAAACAACAAAAATGTCAAATGTAGACAAAAATATTTGAGCAATAAGAGGTTGTTATTTTTTTTCTTTTATAAAAAAAAAAGATTATTCAATACAGGTAAACATAAACCCTATTCAAGTATGAAAACATCAATCAAGAGATGTGAACTCAATAGAAAAGCATTATGGATAATGATTATAATAATAAAGGTGTAAGAAAGCACTCAATTATATGCATATACATATGTATATGGATACAGGAGAAATGTAAAACAGTGTTAGAATAGCTTTATTGTTAATATTATTAAATGCAAACAAATTATTGTTTGTTTGTTTGTTTGTTTTTTATCCATTAATATCTTTGATTTGGATAAGATGAGCAAATGTGAACATGGAATGAATGAATGAATGAATGAATGAGAGAAAGAAAGAAAGAAAGAAGAAACCATTATCTCTATATGGAATAGAAAATGACTTCAATGAAATAAGATATATCATAGGTACCTTAGTTATGTAATCTATCTAACCATTATGTTTGGTTACTAACTTATAATCATTGTCTTATATTATTTTTTTCATTTTATAGATATAGAAAACAATTGAATAAAATCAAACAGATGAAATTAGATATTACTACATACATTCTAAAAAAAGAAATTTATCAAAATAAGCAAGAGAAGGAGAGACAGAGAGGGAGGGAAGAGCTAAAAAAATATTAATTTTTATTTATTTATTTATTAAAAGCATTGACAATTAAGAAAGACTGTTAATCTGAAAAACAAAAAATACCCATCTCCACCTTCATCCTCCATCCCCCATCCTTACCCTCACCTCTTCAACAAATCGAGTTACTTTTTAAATGTACTAATTCTTTCCAGTTGTTGTTTTTTTCGCCATAGTTACAATAGTTTCCTATATATATATATATATATATATATATATATATATATATATATATATATATATATATATATATATATATATATATATATATATATATATATATATATATATATATTAGGTTGTATACAATATTTATATGAACAGGCAAATGCATTCAACGGTAATAACTGCTTTTCCCGGTAAACAAAAACAATGATGAAACTTACGTTAAATACTACTTACGATGTTTTAAATAAATAAGAATAGCAAAAAGAAAAGAAAAGGTAGACGAGAGTGGTCAATGAAAGTGAAGATAGAAATGAAGTAATAGAAAGAGAGTAAATAGATAAACACATATGCATGCATATGTGTATGCACGAACACACACACACACACACATACACATACACATACACAAACGCAAACAGTATTACAAATTATAAAATGAATATAGTGGAATTTTCTGCTTAACAAGGATAGTTTTGGCATGTTTTCTTTTCTGCTTCAAATGCCTTCATTTTATGTTTGGTGTCGTATGTTTAATTATTTTTTTGACAGCCTATCTCTTGCTCTCACTCTCTCTCTCTCTCAATTGCGTGCTCACACGCGCGATTTGTCATAAATGTCTTGATAATTCTCGATTGAGAAGACTGAGAATTCGATAAATGCGTCGACTTTTTGTCTGTAAAAGAAGTATACAATAGTATATAACTGAAATAATTGTTAAGAAAATAATGAAACAATAGTGATTTGTAAAGGATTTTCCCGACATAACTATGTTGAATTGATAAGAAAATGGGTAATGAACTATATACATCATACACTAACAATGAAACAATATGCAAATGATTTTGATAGAGTTTTGTTCTCTGAACTAGATGGTTTGATCGTGGAGCTTTCATTTTTCTTCTGAACGACATTATTAGCAGAAATTTCAAGTGGAAGTGGTGTTCAATTTTCTCCATATATGGCTCATAGTTTGTCCTGTAAACCTCGATGTTGATTGGTTCTTGTTGACTTTAAACCTGTCATGACAAGTTGTGAGCCATGTATGGAGAAATTTAAACATTTCACTTCTACCTGAAGTTTGTGCTGATGATGATACTATCCAGAAGAACGATGAAAGCTCTACGACTAAACGATCCGGTTCAGAGAACAAAACTCCATCGAAATCATCTGCTTGAGCTATAAATCTTCTCCATCATCTCGAATTGTGTAGAGGAAATTATACAAAATGCTTATTCCTATTCATCCATGTCATCAGCTAAAACATAGTTTTTATGAGTATCCTTTATTTTCCTACCAAGTCAGATAAACTGTTACTTAGTTCATTCCGTAATTGTCTTACTGTTATTGTTGAAACTATAAAGGTTAATAACTTCACTGTCATTCGTCTCAGATGATCATTTCATAACACATCAGGATTTCGTATACGAAAAGAGATTGTGGGGACTATAAGAGATCATTTATGAATTCATTACATATTTATTAACATCATATCCGTTGATAATTATCAAATACCCTTTCCTTATAAATAAACCCATTCTACAAATCCACATGTTTTTTACACACATCATCCCCTCCACACAACCCACACCCCCACCTCACACAACTACTTCATAATATGACAGTTGCTATATCAACAACAATAACAACACCCAAAATTATCACCAGCCATCCTCAAAAGCAACCAAATACAAACTAAAACAATAGAAGATTAAAAGAATTCCATTTTCATAATACTAAATCACTTACCCATCTACAACAACTATCTCCAATTACAAACCACCCTCAAAGTCATATTAATACCAGAAAATGAAAACCTAAAACACTTATCCACAACCCAACATTATTCTTCTAAAATATCTCACAATCACCACCAAACCATCACTACACCCCTCCACATCCCACCGACAATTCTCTCCACAAACCAACAATAACCCCCAAAAACCCCAAACACCAACTTACACCATCCTATAACCACAACGCCCCTAAATAATCCCCCAACCCCACAAAACATAATTACATACCCAAATTACCCAAACCTACCCTACATAATATCCCACACCACACCCCCCCCCACCACACACCCCCCCCCCCTACGGAAAATCATTGATTATCATCAATGATAACTCGTTGGCCACTGACATAATTGATTTTAATTATAGAACAAAGGTCTATTCGTAACGAGTCCGACCTGGCATAATAATTCTGTCCCAATTATTAATGACATGGAAACAATTATTATAAACATATGATATTAAATATAGTTACATTGGAAACGTACTTTTATCACATACTCCTGTTCATCACATGAACCATTATCGATTTCTATTGTAAATAACCAATAATTCATATTAGTCATATCAATAAATAAACATGTTGTATATGATTATCTAAATGTACATACTTTACAATTCATTTGTACATGAAATAATGAGTGTATATTATGAATTAGCTTAAGTCTATAATGTTCGGTTAGCAGCTAAAGCTTAGATTCCTGAATAGTTACTCTCATAGATGTTGTCTTAAACGTGTAGTGATTATGAATATTAACATGACAAACTGGTTAAAAATGGATTCAAAACACGTATTAATGTATAGGTTAGATAGAATTAATAATTGATTGATCACTAGATAATGATCAATTTCATGGATGTAATGTTCATTTTAGTGCGAATAGAATTCTATCGATTAGGTTATAACGTAATCACTAGCCTGACCGTTGCTGCTACTTTAATGTGATAATCGGTCTTGCCTATTGTGATGAACCAATCGAGCTATAGTGGTTGGAACAATCGTTCCTCAAAGTCCTAACATGCCAAACAGGCTGATTGAAGAGCGATAAGACTAAAAGCAACAAACCCAAAGTCCGAAGGCGAAGTCGTACTGCTGACTGTACAGAGGTGTGAAAGCAGTAAGGTGTTTCCTTCAGACAACCAGCATGACAACGATGCTGTCTTCCCACAAAGGTAGGGTGAGGTTAGAAAAAGTCGACTGTAACAACGCACACCTTGCCTTATCACACGGACTCCCGTCTCCGGTGGTAAGGTCTCAACAAGTACGGAGCTAACAAGAGACTTACTCACAAAACGGTCGTGTGTGACCGACCTCACTAAGTTGTTCCTTGAGCATATCGGTCACGCTCACAAGTCACTAAGAACACCCCCTAACCTCATTTCCTTTTCAGGTACCTGGGAAGTGATAACCACCCTCATACCTCTGACAACACTCATAATCACTGTATTCATAATTGATCTCTTCGAAGTTTAAATGACTCGACGACGCATGTACTATTTTGATGTGTAAAGTGGTAGTTGGAGATAGTCGATAGAAAACCATGAACCTAGGTTTCATGCTATTTGGCAATTGTCAACAATGTTAATAAGGAAACTGATGCTTCCTGATGGATTCGATCGTATTTTGCCCAGCTTGACGGTCAGAGACGTTATTGTTGAGCTATCCCGGCCGAGAACCAAATCCAGCAGAGAGTGTTAGTTATCTCGATATTACAGATACACATTGCAGATGAGTGCTTAGTGAAACAGAATGCTATTAACTGAATGTCACATTTAGTATGATTTACAGAATATTAAGTGATACCATCGATCAATTCCTCGAAGTCTTTCATGGTGACTACCAACAGATATTTAAATTTCAGTATTTTATAATTGACTGAATGGTGTGAATCATAGATATGTAACAAATTCAACCATGACACTGGTTAGCATGAGTTCGGAACCCTAATGAAACATCATTTGTCTTAAAATACCGGACACACCTTATTGATGAGTACCAAGAAGTGTGGAACCTAGGTCCGCAGCTTTTGTTCGGTCGCACCAACCATGACAATCGTCTATCATAATAGGCCATAAACTCTACAGTATTGACGTACTAAATGTTGCTTTCAAACTTAAATCCTGTATTAGTTTCAAATATTTTTTACTAATTCTTAGATACTTTACTCTTAAGTTTAGCGCTGCTTACCTTTAACTTGTCGTTTCCTTGCATATTTTGAACTTATTATCTTTGAGCTCATTTGTTCAGTCGAGTGTTTGAACAGGTTTTGTGGATTTCGTTCAATGGTACGTGAATTGGTCGAATTATTAATCAAACGTTTTTGTTTCAATTTCTCCAACCGATCCCAACTAGACAAGTCAATTAATTCATCATTAGACGTCGACGGTGATAAAATATCGGACTTTTGATTATCCACATCACTTATACTACTATTATTATTGTTAGTAGTGCCAATGGCAATAGAATCTGTAGTTACAGATGGAGATATATGTTGCGATGGAGTGGATGCCTCATTTCGAGCCAAGTAAAGTTGTAATTCGTTGAAATGATCTTCTTCAGATGTGATCGATGGTAGTGGAGAATAAAGACTACCAAAACCAGACGAATTGGGGCTGATATCAGAAATGCTGAGTTTTGATGTGGATTGTGAAACCGATTGACTTGTCTGATGATCCCATTCAAATAAACTATCAGCACTAACAGTAGTTTTGAGCAAATTCTTCTCTGCGAATTCCAGTTCTGCAATACGTTGACGTTGTTGATAACGACGCGCATCACGTATAGGACTGGCACAACTGACAACTTCGAATTCAGTGCTACTTAGTTCTTTACTGGAAAAAATAGTATAGGAAATGACTAGTAAATTATCCCACCGGTCCGCAAAGTGAAGTGCTAAATTTAACATCAAAACAACTGTACAAAGAATCTTGATAAACGAATGAATACTTGTAAATGTAAACAAGTTATGAAAAACCTAATGTTTATATTGATGAATAACTGAATAATAACCAATATAATATCTGTCTAGTCTTTTAGTTATGATTTAATACTGTTGATCAAGTTGCAGTCAGACGGCTAGTCTAACTGATCCATCACTAAATATATTATATTGGTTTGTTAGTTCGATGAAGGTATTCAACAGCAAACTGTGCTTGATCTGAGTTTTGGACTACCAGTGTAGTTGCACTTGCAATCTTGAGAGGAGTAATGTACAGTGTTATATTCTTACCTTTGTCATTCAATTTCACAGTTCAAAACGTTACTGCTGAGTTATTCCAGCTCCCTAAATTTAGCTAGAAAATCTAAAATTCTACAAATGTATTGATCCAATTAAGCAATTTTTATAAAATAATTGGAAACCGACATGAACTGATGAGACATAAAACGAAAACAAGAAGATCCTTATCTCCAGAAGCTGATATCTCACGAAACCATGAAATAACAGAAAACAATTCTTGATCTATGATCTATACATTTACATTAGGATAATTGAGACTATATGGTGATTACGTTTCTATAATATAAAGATTATAATCAGAATAAAGATTAAGCGTTCGCGCTAGTTACCGAAGATCTTCGGTCCAAGTCCCGTGTATGGGATGCAAATTGTTGACAAGTCCCATACTAGAACAAAACATCCATCCACTGCCTTTAGGTTTTCAATGATGGTCTAGCTAAGATCAATACAGAAGTTCAATCGTTAAAATATTAGGATTGGTAACTTGTTCAATTGTGTTGAAAAACAATAGATGTGAACATACACAAAGGGAAAAGCAAGATTTGCCGGTACAACACAAGATGCAACAATCAAATCACACTTGACGGAGAAGATTTGGAAGACGTAAAAACCTTTACATATCTGGGCAGTATTATTGATGAACACTGTGGATCTGATGCGGACGTGAAGGCGCGGATTGGTAAAGCAAGAAAAGCATATTTATAAATGGAGAACATCTAGAACTAAAAACAACTGTCTGTCAACCAATACCAAAGTCAGAATTTTCAATACCAATGTCAAAACAGTTCTACTGTGTATGGGGTGGAAACCTGGAAAACTACGTAAGCCATCATCTAGAAGATACAAGTGTTCATTAACAGTTGTCTACACAAAATACTTCGGATACGTTGACCAGACACTATCAGCAACAACCTACTATGGAAGAGAACAAACCAGATTCCAGTGCAGGAAGAAATCAGGAAGAAGTACTGGAAGTGGATAGGACACACGTTGAGGAAAGTACCGAACTAATTCACAAGGCAATCCCTCATATGGAATCCTCAAGGCTAAATAAAGGAGATGAGGAAGACGAAAGAACACATTTAACCGAGAAATGTCAGCAGATATGTGAATAATGAACAACAGTTGTATAGAACTAGAAAGTAAGGCCTGGGACAGAGTATGTTGGAGAATGCTGGTTGGCGGCCTATGCTCCATTAGGTGTAACAGGCGTAGGTAATTAAGTAAGTAAGTTGAAAAACAAATAAGCTCCCTAAAACGATTATATTCTAATAGGCTTTATCACTAGTTGATGTAAAATATTATCAATTTATAAAAACTGTTATTTTATTGACTGTTAAGTGGTTTTAAACTGATAAGGTCATTTGAATATTGCTATTCTATTATTCTTATGATATGAACACTCCAAAAACACAAATACATTTACTTAACAACCGATAATATAACAGTTTTTATTAAAATAGAATTACATAATTATCAAACTATCTAGGAATGATTGAGATTATGAATCGTTTTATGTTAGACCAAACATGAAGGCACTGAAACGTCGTTTCGTCCTATTAGGAAATTCCTCAGCAGTGCCCATACACGATCCCGCTCTCAGGATTCGAACCCAGGGTCTTCGGTCTCGCGCACCAACGCTTAACCTCTAAACCACTGAGCCGGCCGGCATTCAACTGCGTTAATGTCTAATCTCAACCAATCCACAAAATTGTACGACCATCTTCCATTGTATTGAGATAAATAACTGTCTCTATGCGACACGGTTTAGCTTCACTGGTCACAGTTTCTCACAAGAACTCTGAGAATTCCCTCAAATAGCTAGTCACTAGTGAGCACATGATAATTATTAGTATAGGGTCGTGGAGGTTACTATGTTTTTGATTGAGATCATGAACCCATTGATGCTAGACAACCATTGCGCACTGTTGAAAAGTCTCACAATAGGACGAAACGGTCATCCAGTGCTTCCAGGTTTTCAATGGTTGTCTAACATCAGTTTCAATCAAAAACTTAATAATCTCCATAACCTCATACTGATATATATATATATATATATATGGATAATAAAGATTCATTAATAACTTACTCATTTTCATCAATTAATGTAACTGAAATATGTACATCTTTTTTCCATGTACTTGGACATTTAGAATTAAGAAAAGGAAATACTAAATGATAAATATCACAGAAATTATTAAAATCTATATCCATTACTAAATAACCATCATTCATTAGTTTATATGTAACATTATTATCATTTTGGACAGCTTGTATAAAACATAATTGTTCTTGTTTTGATAATATATTTGGAATTTGCATTGGATCATTATAACTACAATAAACAAATTGGAGAAAGGGGAGAAGAATATAATGAGATGAATAACAAAGATTGAAATAAATAATTGAACAAAGTTATCTTTGTTACCAAATTCACTTGGTTTTGTTTTATTTGTATCTTTCCATTGTTATTTAGGACTGCAATTGATCAGTCTCATGTTGGCATATGTGCATCCTGTGAGGGTGGCCTCGATATAGTTTTAAGTCACAAGCTTCTTAAGCAAAGATGGATAGTAGCTAGCAGTAGAATCCAGGACGCGTGTTTAGTCCTATTTCGGACTCATCAGCTGGATGTACCTACATCCCCGAGTATAAGCAGTACTCAGAAACATTACGGTTTGAAGATGTTATCGATAACTGCATCTCTGTGCTAATGTGGTGTGGCAACTCGAACTAATGTACGTACGTACAAAGTTCTACGTTGTTACTGATTGACTGACTGATACATTGTTATTAGTTGAGGGATTATCACTGAACTGTTGAGGCTATTAATTATCTTCACTTTGTCAGTAATGTCATTTTCTTCAAACTTTCAATGTTGATAGAACTCAATCGATCACAAATCAAAGTGTCTCAACTTCTTACACATTATCTTTGTGCTAGGTAGTTTAACATGATCAAACTGTTCGTTAGACATCAATCAACAAAATAATTCATAATAAATACACTTAGTATTGTTTGCTTATATTTTCTCATTGATGTTTAGGAAAACAATTGTTCAGCCTCTTATTGCAATATACGCATCCTGTGCGAACTACCTCGATATTGCCTACAGTCATAAACTTTGTAAGTAAAGATGGCTAACAATGAAATCTATGACTCACGTTTCGTCCTATTAGAGACTCGTTAGTTGAATTGATAACATAATATAGTTTGAATAAAATAGTACTGTGTTTGAATCTTGGAATGAAAATCAACTCTCAAATACAGATACATTCAGCTGATCTGTATCAAAAAGAATTAAAAATGGATCATAGATTCCACTGCTAATCACCATTCATCTTTGTTTAATAATCTCTTCAAATCATTAAAATTTCGCGTTAAAATCATTGAAACACTTTTAATTCATATTTAATATTGAAACCCGACTGCTGTTGCTACTTTGACGTGGTGGTCAGACTTGCCTATCCTGATGAAGAAACCAAGCTATACTGGCTGGAACCACCGTTCCTCAAGGTTCTATCATGTCAGACAGATCGGTTGAAGAGCGGTAAGACTAAATGCAACAAACCCAAAGTCCGAAGGCGAAGTCGTACTGCTGACTGTACAGAGGTGTGAAAGCAGTAAGGTGTTTCCTTCAGACAACCAGCATGACAACGATGCTGTCTTCCCACAAAGGTAGGGTGAGGTTAGAAAAAGTCGACCGTAACAACGCACACCTTGCCTTATCACACGGACTCCCGTCTCCGGTGGTAAGGTCTCAACAAGTACGGAGCTAACAAGAGACTTACTCACAAAACGGTCGTGTGTGACCGACCTCACTAAGTTGTTCCTTGGGCATATCGGTCACGCTCACAAGTCACTAAGAACACCCCCTAACCTCATTTCCTTTTCAGGTACCTGAAGAAAAACCTTTCCACGGTGTGGTAAACCGGGAAACGATAACCACCCTCATTCCTTTCACAGCATTCAAGACTTAATACTGAAATCAATGTAGAATATTTATGATCAAAAATATAAAAACAAAAAGAGTTGTGCCTGTAATTTTTCAATCAATCAATTAATCAATATATATATACATATATATATATATATATATATATATAGAAATATAAAATAATTTACCCAATAGCCGGTGTACATATTCCACCAAATATTGTAAATGGTTTAAATCTTAATTTAAATTTATGGCTTTTCATTAAATCAATATCTTCTTCATTATAATGATTATCATTATCACCATGGTAATTAATTATTGTTGTTGATATATTATTTTTTAATGTATAATAATGAAATTGTATTCGTGTATCAATAACACGTCCACGAATAACAAATAATTTTTGTATACCAGTTTTAGTGATGATTGTCTAAATAAGGAAAAAAATTAGATTATGTTCCTTTTTTTAGTTTTGTGTTTTGGTTTAGAATACATAAATTTAAAAAAAAAATTTTTTTTGAAAGAAAAGCAACGACGACAACAACAGCAACAACAACAACGACGATGACGACAACGACAACAAGAAAGATATTTGAAAGAGAGAGAGAGAGAGAAAGCGATACATTTTTTAATCAATAGATGGCAACAATTTGAAAAAAAGATCAATGTGATATTTAATAAATTTTAAATTTAAATGAGTGATTTATTGATTTTTATGGTAAAAATTAAAAAAAAATAATTTATGAGTTTAATTAAATAATATATATATGGAATATATCGAGTCTTGTGAGGCGGGATCGTGGATATCAACTGTTGAGGAGTCCTACAGTAGGACGAAACGGCCATTCAGTGCTTCCAAATTTTTCATAATGGTTCACATTCAATTGAATCATGATTTTAACTAATAAAATTACTTTAATATTCATAAAAACTTCTTCTCATATTAATCAACATATGCTCAGTAGTGACTGGCTTCAAGAGACACTCCTGGAGTTCTCGTGATAAGTAATGACCGGTGGAGTTCAATCGGCTCTATTGTAAGAAAGTAACTCTATGAAAACATTGGTGAATGTGTCTCTCAATTTCGTGGATTGGTTAAAGTTAGACATTAACACTCTTGAATGCCAGCTCAGTGGTCTATTGATTAAGTGTTCGAGCGCGAGACCTGAGCTCGAATCTCGCGCGTTGGGGTTGTGAGTGTCAACTGTTGAGGAGTTCCACAATAGAAAGTAATGCTCATCTAGTGATTTCAAGTTTTCTATGATGATTTAGCTTTAATTGAATTATGATCTCAATTATTGAAATTAATGTATCAACTGTGTTTTTTCGTTTTTAAAAGTAATATTAATAAATGATAATGATAGATCTCTCAAAGAAAATAATGAATTGTGTGAACTGTTGGGATCTATTTATGGACTGATATTATACATATTATTTTTTTATTGTATAATTGTTATTGTAACTAAACTATCTCCATATTCATGTTCCTCTTATTATAAGCTTCCATTTGATTTATAGACTATTATGATACGATTTACCGTTAATGAGTTATACCCTGTTTATCAATTACTATCTCCCTTATTCACAGACACATTTGGCTAGATCTTGTGCAAATGTTGTTTCCTATTTTATGGTACGATTTGGTCTGCTTGGTTTGTATATAAACTCAGTATGTTTGAAATACATGATTTTATATCGTGGAGGCTGAGATTGGTGTTCTGGTCTCAACAGGCAGGGTTAGGCAGGAAGAAGGATCAATAAAGACTTTAGAATGTTCACACGCCTTATTGCTCCAGTCGATAATTCCGTGTTCTTTAATTGTTGGTATCATTACGTTATAAATTAATAGGGACACAAGGCCCACAAGTTATAATAGAAAATATGTTTAACTATATCATTTAACAGCATTATTAAATCTATCCTTTGAATTAGATCATTTCAATTCAGTTTTTTTCTGTTTCTATTTCTATATCTTAAGACAAGTTTAACAATGTAGAATCTGAGTACATTTTTATATCCTGTATATTTGATTCACTGAATAGATTGTAGTCTGTTAACTTGGATAACAGGAGAAATTGAAATAGCATTAATTGTGATTATTCACCGTAGTTGCTTACAATTGAACTTGAATAACGTGATGACCTAATCAGGGTATATTGGTTGGAATTTTCATTTGTTTAGGTTTGAAATGGATTTATTATTTTGGTAGAACACTATTACTATTTGCTATTGATTGCTTTGATTATCATACCAATGTACATTTTGTGTGCTTTTTTTTCTAGCTTACTTTACTCACTCTGATCCGAACACTCCCTTAACAAGTAAAGTACTTTCAGGCTAGACATGAACTACTACATATTAGATGGATCTACCATAGAATGAAATTAAAAGGTACTACCATATAAAGTAGTTTGACCAGAGGACAGTAATGCTAAATAAAGTAAAATTAAGGTCTGTGGTATAAGTCACAGTGCCGGTTGTACTGCGGTGTGATGGAAGTAATGTATTAGTCTCAGATAGGCAACACCCATAGTTGTAGTACTTTATCACAGCGGAAGGACGGGAGCTAGAAGCGGTTGACTCACCTCACCTTACATCGTGGATTTTCGGCCATTTATAATGTGACCTTACAAGTTCAGAGATAACCTAATGAAAACAATTTATAGAAAGACCGTGTGTAACCTGCTTCCTCATAAATATGTGTAAACAACTTGATTCAAGTCAAAAGTATTGATTATTGAATACTGACTTAGTAATTCTGAAGTATAGTTACTCATGTTATTTTGGTTCGGCATAGTGTGTGTAGGAATTAAGAGTTTAAATATAAAGTTTAAATAGATATTCAATAGTTTAGGCGCGGTTGTTTTAACCAATATCAGTTTTAGTTGACTTAATACTTAAAATAATAAATCTACCACTTGAATACCTGATAATCACTTGTAATCATTTCTTAGTTTCACAGAAAGTTTCTATATTTTAGCTTCAAACAGAAGACAAAATGTGGGAAATATGAAAATAATCATTAGTTTCAAGGTTATTCTAGGTACAGAGAATAGAACTATTTTCAGCTTTATTAATGACCTTCATATCTTCATAACATCTGGAAACGTGTCAACATTAGTGACAGCTTTGGTGGTTACCTAATCATAATATGACACATAACCAGTCGTTTTGTAGAAATGTGTGAAGCGTTTTTATTGAACATCCAATAGACCAGATATTTGAGCGTATTATCAACTCCTAATCTCTGTAAGGGCTAACGCTTTCTTGTTGTTAGTGTTAAAGACTGTAAATGATCAGTCTCTATCGGTCTATGGACATTCCACGCTGAGTTCTTTGATCTTTCTATTTAGTCACATGTTTTTATAAAATTCGGATAGTGGTTAGCACGAATTTTGTTCTATTTGGAACCCAACAGTTTGACGTACATGCTTATCAAATAAAATCTATTCCGTTTGTTCAAGCTACTAGCTATTAAGATCATTTAGCTCAATAGTTAACGAATTTAAGTTTAAGGTGAAAATTACTTCATCAACATAGAAATTCAGGAACATATAGTTTTTAAATTACAAGTAAAATGAATAGAATACCCTAGATTCAACGCCAGATACTATTTAAATTTATTGGTTAAAGTTGGACATGAACACTGTTGGATGAAGGAGAAGGTTTGTAGCTCAGGTGGATTATTTTGATGGAGTTTTGTTCTCTAAACTGGATGAGCTAGAAAGCTTCACAACCAGACTATTCAGCTCAGAGAACAAAACTCCATCAAAAACTGCCGGATGTCAGCTGGATCAGTGGTTTAGAGGTTAAGCGTACATGCACAAGGTTGATATTTCCTGGATTCGAATCTCACGAAGCGTGATCGTGGATACGCACTGCTGGAAAGTTCCATATTAGGATCAAACAGCTTTCCAGTGCTTCCAAGATTTCCATGGTGGTCTAGATTCAATTGACTCAGGAATTCAACTGTTAAATTATTTCAAAAAAACCATTGTTAATATAATGGTTAATCATAAACTGTGTTATTGAAATGATTTGCTTACACAACTTACTTTAGCTACTTTACCATATTTTGAAATGTCTTGATTGGCATTATCTTGATTAAGTAGAAATTTTAATTCCAGCTTTCTAAATTGAAAAAAAAAGAAAAAAAGAAAAACATCCATAGAGAATGAAGAAAAGAAAACCCTGATTAATTGAGCCCCAAAAAAAATTTACGTAGAGATTTGAACCGACTAACAGGGTTTACATTTTTTTAGTGAATTCTATATGTATAGAATGTTTTATTTAAGGTGTGGATCTGCAAAGCAAGAATAGCATATTTATAAATGGAGAACATCTGGAACTAAAAACAACTGTCTGTCAACCAATACCAAAGTCAGAATTTTCAATACCAATGTCAAAACAGTTCTACTGTGTATGGGGTGGAAACCTGGAAAACTACGTAAGCCATCATCTAGAAGATACAAGTGTTCATTAACAGTTGTCTACACAAAATACTTCGGATACGTTGACCAGACACTATCAGCAACAACCTACTATGGAAGAGAACAAACCAGATTCCAGTGCAGGAAGAAATCAGGAAGAAGTACTGGAAGTGGATAGGACACACGTTGAGGAAAGTACCGAACTAATTCACAAGGCAATCCCTCATATGGAATCCTCAAGGCTAAATAAAGGAGACGACGAAGACGAAAGAACACATTTTACCGAGAAATGTCAGCAGATATGTGAATAATGAACAACAGTTGTATAGAACTAGAAAGTAAGGCCTGAGACAGAGTATGTTGGAGAATGCTGGTTGGTGGTCTATGCTGCACTGGGAGTAACAGACTTAAGTAAGTAAGTTGCTATAAATAGAGTAAGTTGAATCAAAGGTTCGTAGATTTAGGTTTTATAGGCAATTTAAATAGAAAGAATCAAAAATCTAAAATGTTTAATATTTTTCTTTACCACTCCATAATGGTGAAATGAAAATTCACTCTATAATTTAAAACATTGGAATAACTATCCAATGGTATTTTACAGCTTTTCATTTTGCTGGGTATAAGATGAACGTCATTAATTTTTTTAAAATTCTTTCTGAAAAACCGTCAAGTCAATTTTTCCATTGTGATAGGCTCACTGAAGATAATGATGAACGGTGGCTCAATTTCGTCGATTGATTGAGTTTAAACATTAACGCAGTTAGATCCCGGCTTGCTCAGTGGTCTAGAGGTTAAGCGTTCGTGCACAAAACCGAAGGCCTTGAGTTCGAATCCCACTAGCAGGATCGTGGATGTACACTGCTGAGGAGTCTCATAGTAGGACGAAACGGCAGTCCAGCACTTCCAAGTTTTCAATGACGGTCTAGCTTTAATTAACTCATGGACTCAACTATTAAATTACTAATAATAACTACAAAAATCCCCTTCTGATAACAATTTTATATTGTAGTTATAGTATAGAACGTTTCGATGGTACTTCGCCTCGTGAAAGAAAGATCGAAAAATAGTAGGAATGAATTGACATAATTAGAACGCGTTTATTGTTAACATCAAAACCATCGATCATAATAAAGGTAATTGAAGTTGTTCAACATTAGAATGTCCATTTGTCTTAAATAATAGGTCAAATATGCAAGACTGTTAATAGTTGATTGATAATGACATTAATAAATTGGTTACACACAGAATGATCTAATAATTATGTAATGATGAGTTCAACTTATATATAGTTTGTTCAAAATTTAATTATATAATCAGTGTTTAATCAATCTATTAGAGACTCAATATATTGTGATATTCAGTAGTTGGATATAATAAATAGGTAGGCCCAAACCTATAATTCCTATTACTTTACACTCGTTAACAACTTTAGTTATATAATATACCCTTGTGGGCCAGGGTAATTTTACATTGGTTTTCAGGAGAACCAGATATCATCCAGACTTTCATGTGACAACCTAAACAGTACAGCTCAACCCCGTTTAACAGGAGACGCAAACACCACCCAGGCTTACATTTTATAAACTGAGCAGTACAGCTCAATCCCGCTTCACATGAGAACCAGACACTGTATAGGCTACAATCTGAATAGTACAGCTCAATCCTGTGGCGCAACCACACACGTACCAAGCACGCTAGTGGACCACGTTAACAACTCAGATCTGAAGTTTTACTTGGAACTGATCTTTCATGTGAGATTTTAAATCAGAGTCACATAGTGTAATATGGTTAATGTTGTAATAATCAAGTTATTCAGTTTATTACTATTCTTTCTAAAACAAAACAAAAAAGTATCCATTGTTCTCTAGATTTCAAAACCACTTGAAACTAATCTCTTACACCTTTATACTTATATTATATCGATCAGTTTAATCCGTATTCAGTATGTGTTAAAGTTTGATATTGACAATGTTACTAACATCATGGTGAACAGTAACACGTTTTAGGGTCATTTATACGCTTGACCTTGAATAACTTACAGTTTTAATCAGTGAACATATTTCTTTTTTAATCAATGATAACCATTTTAACATTCTTATCTCTCAATTAATGTGATAATGATCATTGATAAGTGATAATGATAATGCTTATAATGTTTGTGAATTAAGGCTATACAGAGTATGTATGTATGCTAATAAGAGACTGATCAATTGTAGTCCTTAACATCAACGGGAATATTCAAGTAAACAATACCAAGTAAATTTAAACTTCACCCTATTGCACAAGCAAGTGACGATCAGGACTCACTCCTTTTCGTGAAGGAGCATAGGCCGCTCATCACCATTCTCAATCCAACCCTGTCATGGGTAATCCTTTCCTGTTCTTTCCATTTGTTATTCATCCTTTTCATATGTGATTCTATTTCCCAACGTAATGTGTTATTTGGCCTTTCACTTTCCGCTTCCCTTCAGGATTCCGAGTTAGTGCTTGCCTCATGATGCAGTTTGATGTTTTGTGTAATGTATATCCTATCCATTTTCATCGTCTTTTACTAAGTTCCTCTTCATCTGGAAGATCAGGACTCAGTAGCTAAGTGAATAATGTGATGTCGTTTGAAGCGAATGGTACTGGGTTCGATTCCCAAAGTAAATATCAACTCTGAGATTCAGGGAGATCCGACTGACAAGTCCCAAACAGGACGAAATGCGCGTCCTGGATTCCACTGCTAGTCACTGTCCACCTCTGCTTAAAAAGTTTGTAGATTAAGGCATTATCGAGGCAATCCACACAGTATGTACGTATGTATGTAAGTGATTGATCATTATCAGTCCTAAACATCCATCGGAGTATTCAAGTAGACAATACCAAGTGAATTTATTGATAATTGTAGTTATTAATGGTAGACTATAATTCAGATAGACAAATGAATTGTAGAAATTTCATTTCATTTTCAGAAAAATTTGAGTGAAGCGACGTTTTCTAAGCTGAATAGTTTAATTATAAACTTGCACAATCTATGTCATCTAGAAAGACAGTGACATTTTTACGAATGAACTATTCAGATTAAAGTACACAACATCAGTAAAATCATCTTCCTGACGTATACATCATTTTGACCATCTCGAGTAACACACAGATTTACATTTATCAAAGTACTATTAAAAACTGAACTAGGTATTTAAAGGTTGGCTCAATTTACTTCAGTATTTCTCATTATTGAGTACAAATGGTGTTAAATCAATCTTATCAAACAAACCAACGGATAATATATTTACTAAATATAGATATATTTGATTCAATAACCTGAATATTTAAACAGTTGAGATCATGAGTCAATTGAAACTAGAGCATCATGGGAAATATGGAAGCATTGGATGGATGTATCGTCCTAATATGGGACTCATCACTAGTATGCATCCGCGATCCCGTCACACGAGATTCGAACTCAGGACATATCAGTATCGCGCGAGAGCGATTATACACTAGACCTTTGAACCGGTCGGCATCCAACGGTGTTAATGTCTAACTTCAACTAATCCACGAAATTGAGCGACGCATATACCATTGTCTTCAATGAGTTACTATCACACACCAGACCCGGTTGAACTTCACTGGTCATTGCTTCTCACTAGAAGTCCATGAAATACGTCTTGAAGCGAGTCAGTAGTGAGAATATGTTGATCAATATCAGAAGGGTTTTTGTAGATATCATAGTAATTTCAATGGTTGAGATCATAAGTCAATTGAATCTAGACCAACATGGAAAACCTGGAAGCACTGGAGTTCTAGTGAGAAGCAGTGAACAGTGAAGATCAACCGGGTCAGTTGTGCGGCAGTAACTCACTGATGACAATGGTGGATGCAACGCTCAATTTCGTGGATTAGTTGAAGTTAGACATTAACACCGTTGGATGCCGACCAGTTCAGTGGTCTAGTGTTTAATCGCTCGTGCGCGAGACATACATGTCCTGAGTTCGAATCTTGTGTGGCGGGATCGTGGATGCGCACTTCGGAGGAGTCCTACAATGGGACGAAACGGCCATCTAGTGCTTCCAGGTTTTCCATGGTGGTCTAGCTTCAATTAACTCATGATCTCAACTTTTTAAATTGCTACAATCTCCACAAAACCCCTTCTGATACTAACCTGAATATTATTAATTACTAGTAGCCAATTAAATAATGATAACTTCTCACAAAGTAGCTTGCTTCATATTCATCTGATAGAATCTATCTAATTAATGTATACATTCTATCAACTTCATGTGATTAATTCAGTGTTTTTATATTCATATTTTAAATTTCATCTTCCTTAATCAAACAAGTCAACCTCCAGCTGAGGTGAAAATCATGAAAAGACGTTGGAAATGAATAGGATATACATTACACAAAACATCAAACTGCATCATGAGGCAAGCACTAACTCGGAATCCTGAAGGAAAGCGGAAAGTGGAAGGCCAAATAACACATTACGTTGGGAAATAGAATCACATATGAAAAGGATGAATAACAAATGGAAAGAACAGGAAAGGATTGCCCATGACAGGGTTGGATTGAGAATGGTGATGAGCGGCCTATGCTCCTTTTTGAGGAGTAACAGGCGTAAGTAAGCAAGTAAGTATCCATTCATTACAACATAGACTGTCGTTTATTCTAAATAAGGGTTAATACATAGTGATCATTTTCTCATCAAACCCTTACTACTAACTTCCTATCCGTTTTATACATCATTAGATTACTCCTACACTTAAACCATACAATAGAGAAATGATATGAATTCAGCATAGAAGCTTTACCTAAAGGTTTATTAATGTAAATAATCATTCAATCAGAGTTTAACATATAATCTGTAAATTTTCTAGAAAGTATCGTAGGAAATTCTATTCCAATGATATGGTTACAGCTTTCTTCTGACTTTTGAATAACTTATTGAAGAATTCCTTTGAAATTTAACACATATTGAACTACGAATTGATGTTCTCACACTGTGGTGCGTGTTACTTATATCGATGTAAGTAGTATATGACGCGAGTTAAAAACGCAATGTCTCGCAGCAGAAGATGAGAGAAGGTCAAGAAAGGAAGAGTGACAACACGATGCAATTTGTAAGAAAACAGCTAAACAATGAAATATGAGACAATGGATTGATGTTTGCAACAGGAACAGTCCAGGTTGATATGATGGAATAATAATTTGCAAATTAACGATTTACTATATGATTTTTCTATTTTACCAAGTAACTCTGTAATATTGTACTGTTTTCAAATTGGTTGTCCTCACCTGTGTTCTCCTTCACTACAATACTTTCATAGTCAGGAAGACTTCAACAGTTCTTCACATGATGTAGGACAATAGATATCATTATCATTATGTTATCACTGATCTACATGTATGGATTCACAGAACTTAGCAATGAAGTTAAACGATAGAAATATTCATGATTTACAATTTGAGACTAAACTGAAAACCCTCCGCCCCCTACCTACTTTTTATAATTTACAGTTATGAGTCACATCGTATTGGGAAAATTAAATCAAATTCTCAACCATGAAGAAACTTTCAATGAAGATCTGACTTATAAGATGGTGATGAAGATTTGTTGCTCAGTTGATCAACATCAAAGTCTATAAAACAAGCTCTTAACCATATATAAAGAAGTTCGAACACTTCAATTCTACCTGAAGTTTGTACTGATGATATTGTTCAGAAGAACAATCAAAATCCTACAACTAAACCATTCAGCTCACAGAACAAAACTTTATCAAGATCTGCATAGATCACTATAACTCAAACACACAAAGATGAGGATAAAGAAATCAAGACAGAGTGAGTAAGTGAGTGAGTGAGTGAGTGAGTGAGTGAGTGAGTGAGCGAGTGAGTGAGTGAGTGAGTGAGTGAGTGAATGAGTGAGTGAGTGAGTGAGTGAGTGAGTGAGTGAGTGAGTGAGTGAGTGAGTGAGTGAGTGAGTGAGTGAGTGAGTGAGTGAGTGAGTGAGTGAGTGAGTGAGTGAGTGAGTGAGTGAGTGAGTGAGTGAGTGAGTGAGTGAGTGAGTGAGTGAGTGAGTGAGTGAGTGAGTGAGTGAGTGAGTGAGTGAGTGAGTGAGTGAGTGAGTGAGTGAGTGAGTGAGTGAGTGAGTGAGTGAGTGAGTGAGTGAGTGAGTGAGTGAGTGAGTGAGTGAGTGAGTGAGTGAGTGAGTGAGTGAGTGAGTGAGTGAGTGAGTGAGTGAGTGAGTGAGTGAGTGAGTGAGTGAGTGAGTGAGTGAGTGAGTGAGTGAGTGAGTGAGTGAGTGAGTGAGTGAGTGAGTGAGTGAGTGAGTGAGTGAGTGAGTGAGTGAGTGAGTGAGTGAGACATAAAGAGGATAAGATTAATAGTTTTTTTTATAGTTCAATATTAAAGTATTATACAATTTGTAATAAACTGAAATTAAACTTAATCTACCATTTATTACCCCCTCCCTCAACCCCACCCCTATAAAAAATCAATATTTTTAATGGTCTATTTATTCACAATAGAATAATCAATACACATAATCTAGATATTTTGGTTAAAATTTTATTGATCATTAAAATGTAATTTGGATCAATAAAATCATTACTAAAAATAGTAATAACAATAATAATACTTATTATTATTGATTGTTATTGATTATTATAACAATATTGATAATAAGTATGTGAATCATATTGTATGTAAACAACTTTGAATTATTTACGCTTACCGATTATGTATATATGAATAAAGTCAATTACCCATACCTAAACTATGCACATATAATAAACACTTAAATATATACAACTTTTAATGACTTAGTGATGATATATTATGAAAATAGATATAAAATATACCCTTGTGGGTCAGGGTAATTGTATATTTGGTTTCCAGGAGAACCAAATACTATCCAGGCCTAGATTTTATAACCCGAGCAGTATAGCTCAATCCCATTTCATAGGAGAACCAGACATCATATTAGGTAGGCTTTAACGTTATCATCTGAATAATACAGCTCAATCCTGTGGCACAACCACACAGATATCAAACACCCTGGTGAACCATTCGCATATACATTCATATACACATTCATGTTACGTGTATAGTTATTCGGATCAATGATCGAGTGAATCAATTATATACAGAATGAACAGATTAAAGTTGAGTTATTCCGTTTGCCGAACCATCGAAAATATCTATAATAACTCACGTACAATTGAATTTGTTCACATTTAATTCGGTTAAACTTTTTTGTTAACTTATTTAACAGATAGAGTCATTCGTACAATAGGAACTTATCTATACCATTGTGTCTTTATTACTGTTGCGAATGTATGAACATGTGTGCTTGAGCATTTGCTTACTGCCTAAGCATTTATTCACGCTGCTAGCCTTACTACTAACCGCTAAATTGATTCGATGATTCATTCATTCATTCATTTCACTATGTATATATATGTCCATGTTATTCATCTTCGCTGCTCTATCTCGCCTAATTGTACCCGCTTACTCGTACTCGTATTCGCTGACTCACATGCTCGCTCGCTTGCTTGCTTGCCTCTTTGCCTTTCGGCACAACTCTTTCATGCTTGTTTAACGCACCTGTAATTTCGGATATATGTGTGTGGTCCCATAATAAACGTAATCAACACTTCGTATTCGTCTTCTGATTAATATACCGTTGGGGTGTTATCTAGTGATGGTTATCAAGATGAACTATATACGAAGTTTAAGGATAATATGGAATACCGAGCACTACATATCAATGGTGAACCTGCAATCTCATATAAGACTATCAGTTCTACAATAGCAATATTATGAAAATGTTACATACCCTTTTGATAACCTTGAATTGATTTGTTTACCTTCTTGTATTTTGTTTACATTATTATTATTATTATTATTATTATTATTATTATTATTATTATTATTATTATTATTATTGATTTTATCATTCATTTGAAGTGTAGAACATTCAGAAGGAGTATTTTCATAGAGACAATTTGTTCTACAATTATTAATTTGACAATTATGTTGTAACACTGAATTCTCTATAGAATTAGGTAATTCTTCATATCGTTTTAATAATGAATTCATTCGATGTATATCATTGAAATGATTATATGAAATAGATTGATTTGAATCTATTCTATTATGATTGTTATTGAATGTGGATGATAGAAATGAAGAGGATTTTGAATAGTGTGATACAGTTGAAATAGTATTATCATTACTTTTATGCATAGAAGATACATCATTTTCCCCATGATAAATATCGAATAATAATTCTTTAATATCATGAAATGTTTGTCGTTTACCTAAATTAGAAGTTGAATTGACTGGGGTCTAAAAATAAAGTATAAATAAAGAAATAATATTTGGTCATATGTGACCAGTTTAAATGATTGATTGAAGTAGTATGTAAATAAGAAATAGGGAGAGATATGTTTATTGATGATGATTGAAAAGCGCTGTTACTGTAGGTGAATAAAACTCCCTATTATACACCATTAACATATACAGCTTTGGATTCAAGCCATTAGACCATGTAGTTAGCATACATAGGTCATTGTAGAGAACATTGAAACTTGGTCGATAGCATTCGATCTGTACTAAGAAGGCATACATGACATACATGACATTAGACACCGCCCCAGTGAATAATCAATTGTGAATACATTTCAATCATACAGGAGGTTGGTCATACCCCGGATAGCCCATTGGTAACGTCTCTGACTGTGAAGCTAGGTAACATGGGATCAGATCCGTCAGGGAGCAGCAGTTCCCTCAATATTACAGGTACACCTTGCTGACGAATGCCGAGTAGCACGAAACCCGGGTCAATGGTTTCCTGTTGACTACCTCTAAATACCATCTAACAGTATGATATTCTCAAACATATTTAGTTTATTATGTTGAAGGAATAGCTCATCTTATTATATTTATCACGGCACTATTGAATTCTATCAGATAAGTTTCTTATAACTATCATTCGTATGCTAACAAACTACAAGAAAACATTTCAACGCACATGACCTAATGAAGGCCTAATTAACAGGCATTACATAATTCATACAATACAATAACTTGATATAAGATGGTGGTTGAATGTAGTCAATAGCAAACTCTGGACCCGGGTTTCGTGCTACTTGACACTTGTCAGCAAGACGTACCTGTACCTATTAAACTGTTTGTTTGTTTTTTTCATCTAAAATGTTTAGGTCTATTCATACAAACGAGTTGAAGATCGATTTTCTTGGCTAATGATAATTTATTATATAACCTGTCCTCATTTTCACTATCTTCTGGATTAAAGGATTCAAGAGGACACTCCAACAAAGTTTATAAGCTCACGACCAATCACCCGTTTATCGAATACTTATTCTCCCATAAAATCAGCAACTAGTGGAACTCTTTATATATAGTTTAGGCTCCATCTGTCAATACATTTAACAACAAAAACAAACGTTGAATCAACTGAAAGACCATCATATCCAGGAATACCACAGATTATCCAGCTTCCTATTCTTCTCAAACTAAAACTGAAATTAACATTATTTATTGAATGTTCCCAATCAAAATCATGCTTTGATTGAATTCTGTCCACAATAAATTAGTTGAAAGATGCAAGTACTCAATAGTATAAAAAGAAAGTATTTTAATATAAATTGTAACTAACTAATTTAATAGTTGAATTCGTTAGTCAAATAAAGCTAGACCACCATAATAAACTTAGAAGCACTGGATGGCCATTTCGTCCTATTGTATGACGCCTCAACAGTGCGCATCCACGATCCCACCTCCCACGAGATTCGAATGATATTCATTAAGATAAAAGATGAAAAATACATATCAGTTTATATCATTAATCAATATTTTAATCTAATAATCAACTTACTTGTAATTCAGATGAAAAATACTGATCATTGCCAATTTTTTTCATTATTGACATTGTTACATCATTAATATTTGTATTGATTGTTGAATTTATAAAATTATTTCCATATAAATGTTGATTCTGTTGATAATTAGATAGATGAGAATTGAAATAATGAATATCATTGTATTGTTGTTGTTGTTGTTGTTGTTGATGATGATGATGATGCTGATGATGTATATTATGATTTGACTGGTATTGTGGGTGTTGTTGTTGTTGTTGGGGGTGGTGGTGCTGTTGTCGAGATTGTTTATTTATCTCTTGACATTGTTCTCCCCCTTCTAACAAATTATTATTCTGATGATGATGATGATGATGATTATGTAATTCACTTGGAGACAAATCATAATCTAAAAAGTTAGAAATGCATGGTGTTTGTAATTCGAATTCTGTTTGTAAATGATTTTGTGCCATAAGTGAATTTGTTTTATTCATAATTTCTAAATAATTTGTGCGTATAATTTGATAAATAGATCGATCAATAAAAATAAACAAGAAAGTAAGTACTTGCAAAATGAATAGTTTCTCTTCTTTTTTTGTTTTCCCGCCCTCACACCCGGTAAATGCAAATGTATATTTATATGTTGTTACGTATCTTCTATATGAATAAAATCTGTTTCAATGTAGTAGTAGTAGTAGTAGTAGTAATAATAATAATAATAATAATAATAATAATAATAATAATAATACTGATGATAATATTCTAATAGAAAGACACTAAGAAAATGCAGTTGGCTTTTATACATAAAAAGAATTAATTGAATCACAATTGGCAATTACTTCTTGAACTAAAGAGATTCATCTAAAGTACAAATAGAAGAAAAAACAAAACAACAAAGTAAATAGGTAAGTGATAAAACTACTTTTTTTCAGACTAATAACAAGTGCAATATTATTGATTTCAGATTTCATTACAGATTGATATGAGATATGTGATTACTCTACTTACTTACTTACTTACTTACTTACTTACTTACTTACTTACGCTTGTTATTCTCAGTGGAGCATAAGCCGCTGACCGGCATTATCTTACTTTCTAGTTCTATTCAATCGTCATTCATTCTTCTTAGGTTTGTCTCCATTTCTTGAAGTAATGTGTTCTTTGGTGTTCCTCATCTCCTTTATTTAGCCTTGAGGATTCCATGTGAGGGCTTGCCTTGTGACGCAGTTGGGTGCTTTCTTCAATGTGTGTCCTATCCACTTCCAGTACTTCTTCTTGATTTCTTCCTCCACTGGAATCTGGTTTGTTCTCTTCCAAAGTAGGTTGTTGCTGATAGTGCCTGGTCAACGTATCCGAAGTATTTTGCGTAGACAACTAACTCGCTAAAAAACACCAATGTGATTACTAGTGTTTACGAAACAGTACTTAATAGATTATTGGTTTAGTATGGTTTTTTACTACTCAGTGATATCCACACCATGATTTGACACGGAATTGAACAATAAAGTGTATATTGAAACAGTCAGTGTACTGATGTAGATAAAAAAATATTTACAATAGATTGATCACTGGGTGGCGTTCAATGTCTTGTGTGTCAGATCCTTCTTAGTGTAAATCGAATGCTATCGACCAAGTTGCAATATGGCCACTAGTCTAAGTGATTCTACATTGCGTGTACTATGTTGAGATAAGATGGTGTTTGGAAGTAATCGACAGGAAACCCTGTTGATTATAAGAATTATACCATAAGGATATATAGATAATACTAGTCCATTAATAGATCTCAGACGTTACTCGTAATTTAATCTTCACTAGGATATAACAATATCAAACTATCAATGTTTCAAAAATACAATCCCAACATTTAAATACAGAGTCATATACACAAATGTAGATTACACATTCTATGTGTAAGATTTTAACTAACCAAATCTTTTAACGAATGATGCTCAACATGGAATTTTTTCTATATTAAGACAATACAAATAAACTCCGCCTGGAGTCCCTCCGGGGGCTACTGCCGGTCCCAAACCCGGATAAAGGAGGAGGTTTAGGCATGCGGTTAGCGACCCTATCCCGTAGAAGACTAACTCGCAAAAAAACGCTAACCAGAAAAAATTGTTCAAACCTTTTAAACTCTTCCCTGGAAGTCAGAAGGTCTTCATTTAGAAGAGTTATGACGCTTCATGATGAATGCTGAGTTCCTTCGGAAGTCATGAGGCCGATGCCCTTTCTGACAACCAGAGCAACCATTTATTTAGGTACATGGAAAGCCCAGAACAGAGTGGGTTGGAGAATGCTGGTCGGCGGCCTATGCTTCATTAGAAGTAAGTACAATACAAATAAGTTGTAATCAGATTTATAAGTGATCATTATGATCCTTATTTCAGTCAATAATAATCATCAACTATTAATGCATTATGTAACATAATGAAATATTATTATTTCATAATCATGTTTTTAAAAATTAGTTTCCATGTAAACGTTCTTATTTATCAAAACTAGACAATAATTAACTTATCTATATAATTTAATAGTTGAACTCATGAGTTAATTAAAACTAGACTATCATGGAAAATCTGGAAGCACTAGATAGTCATTTCATCTTAGTATGAGACTGTTCAACAGTGCATATACATGATCCCTCTCTCGAGATCGTGACCTAGGACCTATCGGTATCATACACTAATACTTAAACTCTAAGTCACTATATTATCCACAAAAATTCCTTTCTGATAATAATCTATATAAATTATTTTTTACTCAAATCATGAATTAATCTAAATTTGACAAATAGTGAACACCTAGAGCAACTAACCAGCTCAGCTAATCAACAGTGAACCTTCAACATGTTGCATTCTGGATTTCAATGAAATTCGACTATCTACATAAATCTCATACTTACAAATCATTATTTGCAAATTTATCTTCTAGAGTTCAAGACAGGTTTGTGTAAGTGAAACCACAATGTCCGTACGATATTAGCGTTTTTTTAAGCGAGTTAGTTTTCTACGGGATGGAGTTGCTAACCCTATACCCAACCTTCTTTCTTTATCTGGACTTGGGATCGGTAGTAGCCCTAGAGGGGCACCAGGCGGATTCTTTTTCTAGTTAGCACGATATTATCATACTTTTATTCAAAAGTAAAAATTAAATAGGAAACGATAAACTTATTTGTATTGATCAATTCAATTTGTCTATTATCAAATCAGAACAAATAGTATTATCTTCATCACTATTATTCTTTATCTCTCAATTATTCATTGTAAACTAACTCATCGTAATCAAGTTAATGATTGTCAATAAATATACTTAATCATTATTGATTTGATAAGAGATATATACCTGAAAAATCTCATGAAGAGCCAATACGTTGTTGTCACTGTACTAAGAGAGAACTATCAAATAAGTTGAATGGTTTTAAAAAGATTACCTATCGCTTTGATTGGTATCATTTTGGAAACTACTCAGTTACATATAACCACGAATAATATGACTAACGCATTTCAAAATTCAACGTGAATACGGTAACATTCAACCATTAAGATGAAATTCCATAGTTCACGTCTACAATGTAGATAGATACTAATTGAATCTATGTGCAACTAACTCATTTACAATATGATTGACTTCATATTTTCTATCTGAGGAAGTTCGAGACAGCTGGTTACTGATGAGTACACATGATTATTACTCATGCAAATTTATGAAAATTGGAAGTGTTCAGACCGTTTGATTTCCACTTAGTGGTCTAAATATATCTATGTTCCATGAATCAAGGTCAAAGGAAAAGAGGAAGATTAAAGAGCACATTATGCTGAGAAATGGAGACAGATATGAGAAAAATGGACAGAAATTGGATAGAACTGGAAAGGAAGGCCCAGTATAGAGTGGGTTGTAGAATGATGGTCAGCGGTCTATGCTCTATTGGGAGTAACAGGCATAAGTAATTAAGTCCACGAATCCTAGTCTCTGAATCGCAGCCTAACATTGACCTATGAACACGTATTACTTAATAGCTTCAAGCTGGATTAAAAGAGTCAAGTGGTACTTCATGGTTTCTAAAAAATTCTCTAATTGATTTCAAGCAATCACTAAGACTATCTTGAAGATATATTTGAGTTCTATTTTCACTATATCCATTCAAACGTTTGAACTCTGTCCTGGGAGTCAGAAGGTCTTCATTTAGAAGAACTTTGACGCCTCATGATGAAAGCCGAATTCCTTCGGAAGTTATGAGGCCGATGCCCCTTCTGACAACCAGAGCGACCATTTATTTAGGTACATGGAATGCTCGTACAATGTGAGAGACCGAGAGAGCCTTCCAAATTGCTGCAGTAATGAGAAGATACAACCTAGAGGTACTTGGGATCAGTGAAACACATTGAACACAAGTTGGACAACAACGACTAACTACAGGAGAGCTCCTGTTATACACCGGCCATGAAGAAGAAAATGCACCACATACACAAGGAGTTGCATTGATGCTGTCCAAACAAGCGCAAAATGCACTTATAGGATGGGAATCTCATGGACCAAGGATCATCAAAGCCTCGTTCAATGAACATCATCCAATGCTATGCGCCTACCAACGATTACAACGAAGACGCTACAGATCAATTCTACAATAGGCTGCAGTCAATCGTCGAGAAGTGCCCAACAAAGGACCTGACAATTCTGATGCGAGATTTCAACGCCAAGGTTGGAACGGACAACACTGGATATGAAGACATCATAGGACGACACGGACTGGGAGAAAGAAACAAAAATGGTAAGAGATTTGCAAATCTATGTGCCTTCAATAAACTGGTCATAGGCGGCACCATATTCCCACATAAACGCATACACAAAACCACATGGACTTCACCGGATCACACTACACAAAACCAAATCGACCATATCTGCATCAACAAAACGTTCAGGAGGACTATAGAGGACGTGACAACCAAGAGAGGAGCTAATATAGCATCAGATCATCACTTGCTGGTCGCCAAGATGAAATTGAAACTCAAGAAGCACTGGACAACGGGGCGGACAATATCACAAAAGTTCAATACGGCCTTTCTTCATGATACTAACAAACTCGACAAATTCAAGATAGTCCTCAGCAACAAGTTCTAGGCCTTTCATGATCTACTCAATGGAGAAGGAACTACTGTGGAGAGAAACTGGAAGGGGATCAAAGAGGCAATCACTTCAACATGTCATGAGGTCCTGGGTCACAAGAAGAACCATCACAAGGAATGGATCACTGTTGATACACTGGATAAGGTTCAAGAAAGGAGGAACAAGAAGGCAGCAATCAATACCAGCCGAACAAGAGCAGAAAAAACCAAGGCACAAGCTGAATACACAGAAGTTAACAAACAAGTGAAGAAGAGCATCAGAACCGACCGACGTAAATATGTGGAAGGTCTAGCAATGACGGCGGAAAAGGTTGTAATCAAAGGACACATGAGATGATTGTATGATACAATAGAGAAGCTCGCTGGAAATTATCGTAAACCAGAACAACCAGTGAAAAGGAAGAAAGGCGAGCTAATCAACAACTTTGAAGAGCAACAAATCAGGTGGGTAGAACACTTCAAAGAACTCTTGAATCGATCAGCCCCACTGAACCCACCCAACATCGAAACAGCACCCACGGACCACCCATTCGATGTTGGTCCACCAACAATTGAAGAGATAAGCATGGCTATCAGGCA